AGCCTAATTTATTCACCAAACAATTGCTTGATGGTGGGCCACCTGTCAGGGACTGCTCTGGCCTTAGGGATTTAAATAGTGAACAAGACATGAATAATACCTGCCCTTACACCTCCAACAGCCTCATGGGCAGACGGCCAAAACGAAACAAAACAAAACAAAACAAAACCAACTAGGTAAATGCAAGTGGTAAAAAATAATGTCAAGTTTATGTCTCCTTGTTACTTCCAATTGGTTTTGCTCTAAGCTAATGACTTACCATTGTCTCCTAAATAAATTTATTTAGTCCCAAGTGCCCTGGGGAGAAGAAGTCTTCCTGATGGTGTAGGACAACTTTTAAATTTACTTTTCCCAAATAAAATCTTAAAAAAAAAAGAAGAAGAAAAGGTGCCTCAGTGGGTTAAGTGTCTACCTTCAGCTCAGGTTATGATCCCAGGGTCCTGGGATCGAGCTGCACATTGGGCTCTCTGCTCAGCAGGGAGTCTGCTTGTCCCTCTCTCTCTCTGCTCATGCTCTCTCTCTGTCAAATGAATAAATAAAACCTTAAAAAATAAATTTATTTATTCCCAGAAGCATCTAGAATGTAACTAGAATATACTCCCCTGATAGAACATAACAACTTCCCTTGGGGAGCCTGGGTGGTTCAGTGGGTTAAAGCCTCTGCCTTCAGCTCAGGTCATGATCCCAGGGTCCTGAGATCAAGCCTCGCATGGGGCTCTCTGCTTGGCGGGAAGCCTGCCTCCTCCTCTTTCTCTGCCTGCCTCTCTGCCTACTTGTGATCTCTGTCTGTCAAATAAATAAATAAAATCTTAAAAAAAAAAAAGCTCCAATTAAAAAAAAAAGAACATAACAACTTCCCTACCATTCATTAACAATTTGCATCTATCTGTTCAGGACCTAAATGGATTATTTCTACAAATCCTCAGGCCACTTAGTGAAGGTAGTAAACATGCTGAGAAGAAATGTCTGAGAGGCAGTTTACAGTTTCATGTGGTGCTCTGATCATGCACTTCAAAACCACAGGCCGTCCTTAATCTACAGATACATTCATAGGCATGTGAAAGGATGGAGGTCCAAAGACCAATCAGATGTTGTAAAAGCAAGAGATTGGCTACAACATGACTGTCCACCAGTTAATTTATGGTATACCGTTCAGTGGAATATTGCATCATTGCTAAAAAGAGTAAAGTTGTTTGGGGTGCCTGTGGGGCTCAGGACACGATCCTGGAGTCCCAGACTCGAGCCCCGCACCCAGCTCCCTGCTCAGCGGAGCGTCTGCTTCTCCCTCTGTCCCTCCTGCTGCTCGTGTTCGCTCTCTCTCAAATAAATAAATAAAATCTTAAAACAAAACAAAACAAAACAAAACATGAAGTTGTTTACAAATACCTTCCTGAGAACAGTAAGGTACAGGACAGTACATTTAGTGTGCATTTTGAGGTGGAAAAAGGATACACATATAAGGGTCCCTGGTGCCTCCAGTGAGCGTCTTGAGAGCAGACACTGGGTTTAATCCCGGTTCTACCACTTACTGTCTGTATGATGTTGGGCAAGTCACTCCTCTGAGCCAGTTCCCTTAATGCTAACATAGGAAGGATCCTAACAGTACCTACCTCATGGGCTTGGAATGAGGAGGAGTTAAAAATAAGTCAACGTTTAGAACAGTGCCTAGGCCCACAGTGAGTGGAAGGATGGGCTACCGAGGCTCCCGTGAACCCTTTGGATTTTGTGTGGTATCTGCATCTTAGCTCTTAATATAACACGACTCATTGTTACAGGAGAGGAATGATTTCGGGGTAAATAACATGACTTTTCCCTCAAACCAAGTAAACGTTGTGTGTGGGTGTTAACCATCCCAACCCCTTCTGCTTCTTTACTCCGTAGGGTGGCCTGCGCGTATCTGGGCGGGGGGGCTGCCCCGAGCTGGATCAGAGGGGTGTCCACAACCCCACACCCCAAAGAACAGCCTTCCGCACTCTTGTTCCACCCCTACTCTTCCTCTGCCCTGGTCAGGAACGACAAAGAGGGGAGTACATACAGCTCTGGGGAAGACATTTGATCTCATTCATTTGTTCCACAAATATTTACCGAGGACCCATTCTGCATTTGACTCAATGGAAATCACAGCCAACAAGGTCCCTGCTCTGTGATCTCCAGTTTTTAGAGGGGAGAGACAGAGGAGGGGATGTGACCCGATGACTGCAGAGAACACTGTTCTGAACAAAATGGGTCATTGTCTGAGAGAGGGACATGTGGGAGGGTAAGCTGGATAGGGTGGCCCAGGGTCAGAGGGAGAGGTCTCTCTGAGGGGTGAGGCTTGAACTGGGATCAAAATACTGATAACCAGAGAGCTGTGTGAAGACAGGAAGGAAGAGTGGACTGGGCAGAATGAACCGGAATTGTAAACACAGAATACAGAAAAGAAAGGTTGAAGTGGCTAGAGTCTGATTAGCAGGGGCACGGTTAACTGGATGACTCTTTTTTTTTTTTTTTTTTTAAAGATTTTATTCATTTACTTGACAGATAGAGATCACAAGTAGGCAGAGAGGCAGGCAGAGAGAGAGAGGAGAAGCAGGCTCCCTGCTGAGCAGAGAGCCCGATGTGGGGCTCGATCCCAGGACCCTGGGATCATGACCTGAGCCGAAGGCAGAGGCTTTAACCCACTGAGCCACCCAGGTGCCCCTAACTGGATGAATCTTATTAGTCTTCTCGGATGTAGGAAGCACAAAGATCACCAATGCGTACATGGCAAAGGCTTTGCGGTCAAAGGTAACCCTTGGTTTTGTGAATGGGGCAGAGCTGGTCGGTCTTTTCCCAGGCTAGTGTGTCCTAGTCACACCACCTTTCTCAGATCCTCCCGCAGAGAAACCACAGGCTTTCACAACCTCACTCTTCAAAACCAAACGTTCAAATTCCATTTAAAAAAAAAAAATAGATTTTATTTATTTACTTGAGAGAGAGTGAGTGAGAGAGAGAGAGAGAGAGAAAGAGCAAGGGGAGTGGGAGAGGGAGAAGCAGACTCCCCACGGAGCAGGGAGCCCGATGTAGGACTCGACCCTGCGACTCCAGGATCATGACCCAAGCCTAAGGTAGACGCCCAACTGACGGAGCCACCCAGGTGCCCCTCAAATTCCCTTTGAGTAGGGCCCACATGTGACCACAGTGCCATGAAACAGAAACCAGAGCTGAAACATAAAAGACATTTTGGAAGCGATAAATAGCGTTTGTGTCCTAGCTCTGGCCATTTGTTATCTGAGAGACCTAGAGCAGATCTTTCCACATTTCTGAAACTGTGTTTCCTGAAGATTCTGGAGAACACATGTGCAAGATTCTCAGTGAAACTTCTTTATCTATCCTTCAATTTCTCGCTGGGCAAGTGACAAGATGTATTTATTGCTGGTGTGCCAGTGAACTGCTTAGAATTCGATGGCACGGCGGACAGAAGGCTGCCGGCAAATGCTCTGTCAGCTGAAGCAACACTGAGACACACTGCTCAGGTAGGAGGATTTGCTCCACACAGCCTTTTCCACACACGAGGAGGGCATTAGGAGCTCTGCTTCCCGGAAGCTGATGCTGTGGGTGTGTGAGGGGCTGAGACTTGCCGGAAGAGAGGACGGCAGATGAAGGTGTAACTGAGTGAGAAAAATCCTACTGCATGACCTTCACGTTTTTATTAGCTCTCCCTGTTTAAAACATTTTATTTATTTATTTGAGACACATAGAGAGAGAGGCACAAACAGAGGGAGCAGTGGCAGACAGAGGAAGAGGGAGAAGCAGACTCCCCACAGAGCAGGGGACCTGATATGGTGCTCAATCCCAGGACCCTGGGATCATGATCCCAGCTGAAGGGAGACGCTTAACCCACTGAGCCACCCAGGTGCCTTTTATCAGCTCTCTTGTCCTGGTTCACCAGAGAGACTACAACTAGAGAGAGGATAGAGGATTCAAACCTCTAGGTTCCCCACTTACATTTCCTTGTCTCTGAGGGACTGATCCCAGGAACATGAACCGTGGCTACAGACAGCTTTGGGAAGAACAAATCTAGGTAAAGGCTGATCGCCCATTGTCTGCCACAGCCCCTGCTGGGCAGTGGTTTTAAACTCAGTGAGCAAATGAGTGGTGGTGCCTGCAAGAGAGAAACCGTCCCCCTGGAGACCGGCGGGGAGGAAATGGTGAGAAAGGGGCAGGATAACACTGAGTGAGACACAGATGAAGTGAGGGGTGGGGGAAAAAAGAGTGAAAATTTGTTCAGAAAGGCCACTTTATTGATGGAGAAGAAACTGAAAGGAGCTCTCCACAGCCCTCCCTCACTCACTTCAGTGGCTTCACTGGGCATCTGAGACCGGCATGGGCAGGCCTGTTGCCACACGGGCTGGGCCGCCGGGCCAGCTCCTTGCTGCCTGCCCATGTCAGGCGGCCACATACAAACACATCACAGCTCATGAAGACTTGCAAATGCACCTCAGAATTCCCCAAATGGTTCCAGACATTTTTTTTTATATTGTACAAAATATGGTAAGTAGGAAAGGTCAGCTGTGCTGTTGACACCTGCGGGACGTCCTTTTAGGATTACCGTCCCTGAAACATTATTTTTTATTGCAGTGAAACCTCTAGAAGGTAGAGCTGTACAAAAAAAAAAAAAAAACCCAAAAAACAAAAAATCTAAACAATTTTAAGAAGAGCAGCAACTTAACACTGCTTTAGTTCATTTAAATTTTCTTTCTCAAAAATACATTCCTAAATATACAAACTATACAATCTTGTCATTTTAATGCTGGTTTTCGTTTTTTTTTGTTTTTGTTTTTTTTTTTTTTTTTTTAAAAAAAAAAAAAACCAAAAAAAAAAAAAAAAAAAAAAAAAAAAAAGTCTGTTCGTCTTCCAACCGACGAGAGCGCTAGAGGGATTGTGACTCAGTACCTTCATATAACACCACATAAATAACTTTAGCCACAGTCTACGTTCACAGCGTGGTCAGTGGAACAAAGGAAATACTTTTCTGGCGACTAGACATCGTCTGCAGAGAGCGTCGGGATATTCATCCGAGGCTGGGTGAAAAATGCCATCTTCTCCCTGCAAAAGAGACCAACCCTTCAGAGCAGGGTTTTCAACCTCATTTTATGGATATTAAAAAAAAAAAACAAAAAAAAAACTTTATTTATTTGACAGACAGAGATCACAAGCAGGCAGAGAGGCAGGCAGAGAGAGGAAGGGAAGCAGGCTCCCTGCTGAGCAGAGAGCCCTATGCGGGGGGCTCGATCCCAGGACCCTGAGACCGTGACCTGAGCTGAAGGCTGAGGCTTAACCCACTGAGCCACCCAGGTGCCCCATCACTTTATGGATATCACAGACAGGCTCTCTCTTAGCTGCGGGGGCTGTCCTGGGCATTGTAGGAGGTATAGCAGCATCCCTGGCCACTTGGTGCCAGTAGCAGCCACAACCCCCCACCCCGCCCTGCCTTTCTCCAGTTGTGACAACAAAAAAAGGTCCCCAGACACTGCTAAATGTCCCCGTGGTGCCCAGTCACCTGTGGCTGAGAACCACTAGTTTAGGGACATTAGGACCTGCCCTCTTCAGTTCAAATCATGGGCCTGAGTTTGAAAGGGCCCTTGGGCCACCCGCAGTGTTCATTTGTTTGTTTTAGATTCCCAATTGGTTAAATATTAAGAGGTGTCCAAATACAGTTAAACAAATGACAGTATATTTTAAATGTTTCTATTCCAGAAAGGCACGTTTCCTTTTTTTTTTTTTTTTTGGAGCACATACATAACCACGAGTGCCTTATCTAGGAGGATATCATGAGTCTAAATGCAAGGGCTGCTGTGAATGGCAGACCCCGGCCAAACGGCATTTGGGGCCCTCTTGAGACGTGCCTAGATCTAGGCAGGCAGAGTCAGGGAGGCCCGGCCAAAGCACCTGTCACCCCCAGACTTATTTATCCTTCAGCCAATCCTCCATAATTACCAGGGATGGGAACGATCAGAGGAAAGGCTGGAGCAGGTGGCTCTCAGGTTCAACAAGAGGGTCTAACCAATTAGCTCACGCTGTGTGGGGACTGATAAAGACAGCTGAGGGAGAGCCCCATGTGCTCCCAGATCGCCAGGGGCGGTGTGGCAGAGGGCGCACATCTGTTACAGGGAGCGCTAGTGCTCTGCTGGTGGAGGGAGCATGAGCCGGGGCCAGGCAGACAGAGGCTGGGGAGGCTGTGTGTGAAAGGGCAAGGTGGGCAGGCTGGGGGCCCATCTGCTCACCTGAAAGACTGCACTTCCGGGGGCTCCTTACAGCTCTGGCCTCGAAGCCTGTGCACATCCTTGGCGGCTGCCCGCATCATCTTGTCTGTCTGGAGCTCACCCTTGTGCTCTCCTCGGTCCATCTGTAGGGCAAAGCAAGTGGGGCTGTAAGGTGGTACAGAGTCCTCAGGGCCTCTAGAAAGGGGTCGGCCAATGACAACTTCCTAGCAGGAATGAGAAGTCTACTGTAGTCAAAAAGAGGGTCACAGAATGGGCTCGCCCACTCCTTCCTGTTCCACGGCAGGATCTTCTGTTCAGAATGGTGAGGAGACACGGTCCCACCGTCCGTCAGGGTGGACAGGTTTTTAGGGCCAGGGAACTGAATATCTGTGTGGTAAGGAGATGAGGGCTGCCTAGTGAGGTGTGTGCTACCTTTCTAATCCTCAGGACCACCTAAAAAGGTACATTTTATAATTACTTCTATATTATAGATGGGGAAATGGAGGCTCAGGCAGGTTAAGAAATTTCTTTAATTTCAAACCACTAAGAAGTGGCAGAAATCCAATTCCAATCATTCAGCTGCACTCAAGGGCTTTACGGACACTGCACCCCTTCCTTCTAATGCAAACCCCTGTAAGCACTTTTGAGAATAAACCACAAAGAGCCCTAAAATACCCATGTACCACATACTTGAAAACACTGTAATGAAGATGGAATTTTGGTCAATGAAGCCATGATTTTTTTTTTTTAAAAGATTTATTTATTTGAGAGATAGGAGAGAGAGAGAGAGAGAGAATCCCCAAGCAGGCTCCTCACTGAGCACGGAGCCCGATGCGGGGCTCAATCCCAGGACCCCGAGATCACAACCTGAGCTGAAATCAGCTGCTCCAGTGAAGCCATCACTTAAATGGTTCTTTAATAGGAGGTCACTCTCCTCTCTCTCTCTCAGTCAAATAAATAAATAAAATCCTAAAAAAAAAATAGGAGGTCACCCTCAGACAGTCATGGATATACTATTCTTTTGCTATTTGAGAGATCAGGTTTCCTCCCTTTCCTCTCTCCCTCCCTCCCTCCCTTCCTTCCTCCCTCTCTTCCTCCCTCCCTGCTTCCCTTCCTCTTTCTTTTCTTTTTTTTCTTTTTCTTTCTTTCTCTCTGACTTTACCTATTATAAGTATATGGGATATAAGTAATAAATTAGAAACAAATAAACATTTCTGGAACTCCTGAATTACCAGAGTCCATTTGAAGCCCCCAGGCTGGTCTAGATCTCAGGGGCCCACCACCACTTTCCTACACTAAGGCATTCTCACCTGCACCAAGAGCTGGGGCTTCAGCTACTGGCACTCCCAACAACCCAGGCAGGTGCTCTCTGTAAGGTACTTTGTTTGGCTGCAGAGAAAACTAGCAAGGGTCATTCCTGCCGTGGGGGACAGTCCAGGAGTGGCAAAGATCTTATACGGGAGTTGAAGATGGCCTCTGTGTATTGACCCTGTGTTGCTGCTTTCTCAGGACAGGTTGGGATCTGTCAGCTCATAAGCCCTCTGGTGCCAAAGTCAAATTTTTAAGGCTCTAAATATCCAATTGCTCTAAATATAGCTCAAAAAAGCCGATTTTTTTTTTAAAGCCATTTAGAAACTGCCAGCTTTGCAGACCCCATGAAGTTGTACCCATCATCCGCTAGCCATAGATAAGATAAACCTCAGGGCCATCAAGGACTGGAAGCTGCCCTCTGGAGCTCTCTGACCCAGACAGTCCTGTGCTGCTGAGGACCGGGTCTAGACGCTAGACGCTCCCCATCCCCTGCCCTCCTCTCCTCTAGGTGGCGGCCCAGAGCCGTCGCCTTTGGGAGTTCTCGTGCCGGGAGGGACCTCCTCCAGGTGCAAACGTGTTATCTTTGGAGATAGTACTCTGTGCAACCCCAGGAGCAGACGCTGGGCCAGGTCAGTGTTCGGTATCTACTCTATCCAGGTGTGTGCCCCATCGCAGATTAGGTCCCCAGGAAGTGTGACTAATAGGCCTTCCACAGACATGGAAATGCAGCAAGAGGGCCTACAGCCAGGTCGAGTTTCAACTCAGTTGAAAAAGGGATGCCTGGATCCCTCTGCTGATGGGAACGAGGGGCCCTGGGAACACTCTTTGGTGGGCCCTGGGTTTGGAGGCCCTGTTGGAAGCTCTGTCCTCCCTCCCCTGCAGCCCGGGGCCGCCCCCAGGGCAGACCGGGCCGCTCCCCCTTGCCTCTCGCGAGGCTCTCACCCGCTTCTCCAGCATCCTCAGCAGCAGGCGGAAGCGCTCATCCTCACGCAACCACTGCGGCAACTCCTTCTCCCCGTGGCTCTTGGCTTGTTCGAGCTGCTCCTTGAGCTCCTTCAGCACTGAGATCTCCTGAGTCAGCTGACTGTGCCACGTCCTGGTGGCCTGCAGGTCCAGCTCGAGGTCCAGCGACGTGCGGATCAGGCGCTCGGCGCGCAGGGATTTGACCGATGAAGGCTGTGGGGGGAGCGAGAGCTTTGACTGGTTATTAGAGGGCTGGATCCCATGAGCCCCAACAATCTGCCCCCTTAAACCTCATATACCTCCCCGTTGTTCATCTGAAGGCTTCTATTCCCTCAGAAATGGGGTTCGCCCTCCCCCAGAGCCTGCCTTGATTTCTCCCATGTCCACCGCTTATGTTTAGTGAGCATTTTTATGTCCCAAGCATGGGGTTGGTGGCAAAGCTGAGGCTGCAGCCCAGGCAGTTGGCCCCAGACCGCACCCACTCACTCCCCACACTGCCCGGTTTCCCGGCTCTGGGTGCCCTCAACGTTCACACTCAGTAAATGGGCTCTTGTCATGATCGCGCTCTGAAGTTGCTTCTCAGTACAGATCTGCCCTCCCTGGGGGGGAGACGTCATGTCTTCCCGACTTTATGTTCCCCTAATGGACATCTGTTGTTTCTGCTTGTTCAGCACCCGCTCCCCTGGTCTGACAGTAACCACCACAGAGATCATCTTCCCTTGGGGATCCACTCTTCCACGCTCAACCCGCATGGTGGTTCTCAGGGGACTCCAGGGACAGGAATGTGACCCGAACCTGGACAGTCAGAACCTCAGTGACCACTTCAGGGGTGAGTTTGTTGTCTAAACCCAGCCAATAACCTGCAATTCTGGCACCTTTGCTGAGCTCCTTGGAAAAAAAGAGTCTTTACACAGAGGTCGAGAAGCCAGCAAGATATAAACTGGAACCAATCATGGCCATCTTTCCCACCATCTGGGGTGAGCCTTTTTAAGAATTAAGCTATCTGCGGGGAGCAGTGCCATGAGATGGGGACTGAGGCTTGACGACCGTCTCAACAAAGGCTCAGTTCATGCCTGAAGGTAGTCCAGCATCCTCGGGTTTCCCATTAAATGAGCCAGTGAATTCCCTCTTGCATTTTCAAGCTATATTTGAGTTCTTCAGTTATCTGTACGTAAATGATCCTGAGTAATGCAACCACTTATTCTCCTTCTCGATCAAAAAACAGTAATAACTAAATGATTTAGGGAGGCAGAATTCTAAGTTGGCCTGGAGTTTCCCACTCCCAAAATTCATGCCCGTAGAATGCCCTCCTCTTCAGTGTTGGGGGGCAGGTGGTCTGTGAATATCATGGGATAGCACACCTGTGATTAAGTAACTCATCAGTTGACTCTGAGTTAATCAAAGGAGAGATGTTCCTGGGCGGGCCTGACCCAATCCAGGGAGCCCCGAAACGGTGAACTGGGCCCTTCTTGGAAGCAGGTCTCCTGCTGGTCTTGAAGACACAATCTGTACTGTGGAAAGGACCACATGGCAAGGGCCTGAGAATGACCTCTGGGTCCTGTGAGCAGCCTCTGGCCTGAAGCTAGCAAGAAAACACAAGGCGAGGGAGTCTGCCAACCGAGGGAGGCTGGGAATGAATTCTTCCCTACTCACACTTACACAGGACAATGCAGTCAGTCAGCACCTAGATGTGAGGCCGCTGAGACCCTGAGCAGAGGCTCCAGCTAACCTGGGCCTGAACTCCTGACCTGTGGAAACTATACTGAATTTGTAGTATTTTAAGGTGCTAAGTTTGCTGTGACTTGTTATGCAGCAACAGAGAACAAACACAAGGGCTGATCGATGGATTTGGGAAATGGTACAGAAAACACTACTGGGAGAGCTCCCCTCAGTTAAGGCGGCCAGCACACTTGTGGGACCATGAAGCAACTCAGTGAGGAAGTTCTATAATGCCCTTCCAGGGAGAGCCTTGTCTAGTCTGTGCTCGTAAGTGAGCACGGTCAGGAAACCCAGCTGAGGGATCTCTGTGACTCAGATTCTCAGAGGAACAAATGAAGGTGCTTTGTTCTGACTGATGTCCACTCCCGGAAACTTGCCCGGACAGGTCGAAGCAGAGACCAAGCTCAGGCATGGAGTGGGAGAAGGACTTAGTGCCCAAGCACCCAGGCCCAGCCTCTGGATTCTCCTGTGTCTCAGATCACAGGGCCTGAAGGAAATGCAGGCTCAGATCCATCTGTGGAGGGCTCCCTCTATCGAGTCTTCCCCTTGGCTAAGAGGAAGAAGAGGGGAAGAAGGGTGAACTGTGAGGGCCTGTCTTGTCAGGGAGTCGTAGGCAATGGAGGGGGAGCAAGCAGGTGCTTCCAGAGGCATTTCTCCTGGAGCGGATCATGAAACACCTGTTCTAGAATCTTCTAAGGGGCTTATTATAATGCAGTTTCCAGGACCCCACCCCTGCTGCCTGAATGAGACTGTCCTGGGAGTGTGGCCTGGGAAATGCGCATGGTCAGTAACCTCCCCAGAAGACTCCCCATGCTCTAGAGACTGCGGCACCAGCTACAGCAGACGGGGGTGGAAAAGGGGGACCCAGGCTGGCAGCAGACCAACCCCTACCATGGGAGGCCAGGTCCTATTCCTGGGCAGCCAGCCATGTGCACCCTCCTCTGGGTGGCTTCCTTTCTCCTGTGCTCTCTAGTTCCAGAGACTAGGGGGCACGGTGGTGACAGACAAAGGACCTACTCCTGGTTGGCAGGAGTCTGCTGTTGGCAGCCAGTCTGCGGGAGGTCTGTGGGAGGAACCCTCCCCTGCCTGGGGCTGCTGGCACTCTTTCCCTGCGCCTTCTTTTTGTTTTGCTCTCTCTACTTTCTGACATTCCAACTCCTGTTTCTTCGAGTTCTGCAAACTCCCCAGAACTGCCGGGAAGTCTGTCTATGCTGACAGCCCAGAGTGGGGAGGGCCCGTGTGCATCTCTGCAGCTCTGACTTGCAACCAAGCGTGCATATCAGGAGTCAGTCCTTTGCCTAACACGGTCCCAGCCTGATCTCTGAGCCAAGACTCTATCAGGCAAGGGGAGATTTCTTTACAAAGGCAGCTTGTGGCCTCTTCCCAGTGCTTTTCCAGCTGGATTGAGAAGCCCTTTTGCATCTCCCCACTTCAGGCTTGGAGGTGTCCAGCTTCTCTGCCAGCAGGGTGGGCTGTCAGAACCTTTGCTCAGTCGGCTGCATGAGTTGGGCTGCATGAGTTGGCGCTGGGCAGAGTCGTGCAAGAGGCAGCGTCCACCAGACTGGGACACCCTGAGTTGGTTAGTTCTTTATGACTTTGATTTCTACTCTGGAAGACAAGGATAAGTATGCACACTCCGGACCTAACCTATTCAGCATCACAATAATGTGACATTCACCCTCTGACACCTCCCCAGGGCCTACACATGCCCTGGGTTCATAACCACTGTCACGCTGGCAAAGGCAACCTTCTTCACACAGGGGCTGAGAAGAAACGGTCAGACACAGGGGCATGTGCTTGGGGAGATGACCAACAGCTCCGAGGGGACTGTCTTACCCGCTTCATCCGGACACTGCGCCGCTCCAGGGAGTTTCGAACAAAAGGTGGCTTCTTGGACAGCGTGGAGCTGTCGCTGTCACTTCGGTTCAGCTGCAGGAGATAAGTTCTGGGAAGTTAATTAGAACTCGAGTACGTCTGGAAGGCACACTGCGGCCAAAAGGGTGGTGGGGTTGCCACGCAGTTGGCAGTGCTGTGGGGCTGTCACCACATAGACTGACTCCAGGATCTCATGGCCCCTGGACCTAGCACAGCAAGGCTGTTTGCATGGACTCTTCCCTGTCACCCACGGAGCCACTGGCAAGACACACATGGCCGAAATGTCTAAGTCAAGATGGGTGGGCACAGGCTCTGTGAGCTCTCCCCTGCTAATGTCCTCTCCCCAGAGGGCCAACACTTGCCCTCCGTGGCCGGAGATCACGCTTTTGTACCAAGAGTGCCCCTGACCGAGGAGGACAGGAGAGGAAGGCTGCAGCCTCTGCACGTCCCAGGATACACACAGACCAGGGGTTTCTTTCTCAAATCACATTTGCAGGGCAGGGCGGTGTGATGGCCATGGCCTGAGGCAACAGAGCCCTCCGGAGAAGTTCTTTGTGCGTTACTTTTGTGGTTACTGATAATTATTAGTAATAATGTTATTTATCTGTATTATTAATAACTATATATAATATATATACTTATGTTTAATTAACATTAATTAGTAATATTAATAAATGTTACCAATCTGCAATGTTAATGGGCACAGGAACCCCAGGGATGTAACTGACAAAAGCTCCTGCAGGAGGCAGAATCTGGATCAGAATCAGGAAGAGAATAATAGAAGTAATCATAAGGATTGTGCCGTGTGCTTTATGGACAGTTACATCTAATCCTCACACAGTCCTAATGGAGAACATTGAGGCCCAGGGAGACTTAAGATTTTTTTTTTTTTTTACAAACCACAAGGCTGGTGAGCATCAGAACAAGCGTTCCAAGTCTGGTCAGTCTGACTCTTGAGGCCAGGTCCTCTCCTAGCCCCCAGGATGCACGGAGGGCTCAGAGTTGAAACTACATACGGATGGAGGTGTGGACCATCTTGACTGGGATGGGTGTGTACAATGGCTCGATACTCGTACCAGGAGGCGGCTTTATCCCACAGTATTCCCATCCCAAGGCGACCCTCGCAGACTGTGCCATACCAACTAGCCATACCCATCAAAACCATTGATCCTGAGGTTGTAGCTGCTCACGGGTCAATGGTGATGTTAGAGAAGAGTGACGAAAGCCACATTAGATCCTAAACTTCTCTCTTCCTTGTGTAAAGATGTTTTGCTGCATTCACTCTCAGCCATGATAGAGAATATTGTTGCTCTGTAATATTTCCATGTAATAACTAGGGAAACCAGCCATGAAGATGTGAAATATTTGACAGTCAGAGGCAGCTAGTTCACGAAGGCGAGTCTTGGAAGAACTGTGTTCATCAGGTCAGGGTGAGCCGAGCACGTGACAGTACCACTGAGAACTCTCTAAGTGTCAAATACACAAGGGCTGTGGAGAGCTGGGGGGAGTGTAATTAAATACACTGTCCCTACGCTCACGGATTTCAAGTTCAGCGGGGCGCCCAATCCAGGGAAACTAACCAAATGACACTGGCTGTGCTGAAGACCAAAGAAGGGAGAAGCCGGCAGAGGACACTTGGTATGCAAAAGTGTGACACCAGGCCAGGAGAACAGACAAGGCTTAAATAGTCTGGGGGACAGCAAAGGGAAGTCCTTCGGGCGGTGGCTCTGAGTGATAGGAAGACTGTGGGCTCTCCTGGCTTTGCACCCAATAAGCGGCGTGACCCAGAGCAAAGTGTTCTGACTTTCTGAGTCTCGATTTCCGCATCTGTGAAATGGGGTAAACACGATTTGCCTTTGCAGGCTTGTTTCTGAGATCAGAGGACACAGAAAACATGTGCTTTTTTGTGGGAAAGGTTGATGCTTAGCATCCCAGACCCCATCCCATGCATGGGGAAAGCCCCAGCTTAGGACTCAAGGTGGGCGACAAAGCCCACCCTGCATTAAGGAGGCTGGCAGTGCCGGAGTGTGCCTTTCCCGGCCTCACTTGCAGCTACAGCAGGCATGGGACACGGCTTTGCCCATTGGACGCGACTGCCCCAGGCTCTAAATCACAACTTGGTTAGCTGGACCCAGTGCTCTGGGACTGGGCCTCTCAGACCGGACGAGCCCACCTGCTTCTGTTGCACGAGCAGGTCATATCTGTACCTCAGGGAGGTAAGGAGGGGTGACAGCAGCAGGCAGAGCGGCTCTGGCCTCCGCAGGGCAGGAGCCTCTGGGGGAGAGATCAGTGTCAAATCCGGTGGCAGCAGTGGGACCAGCTGGGCCGAGTTCGGCAGCAGCACTGGTTGTATCCTCACCTGACTGGCTCTGTGGGACATTCTGGCTGGGGTCTGGCCTGCCCTCTTCCCATTTGATTTCTGAGGCTGGTTCTGTAGTTTTCCCACCCTTCCAGTGAATATGTGAGCTACTTGGTTTCTTTTCCAAAAGACTGTTTCCTGCAATAGCGTTCACAGTCTGTTTCTGTTGCTCTCATGAATAACCTGACTGGCATAAGCCTTGATACAAGGAACTAGAGTGCCCTAAGTCCCAGACTGGGAAACATGGAGCTGGCTGTGTCCCAGAGGGGAGGCTGGGGCCCAGACCCCAATCCCAATATTTCCTGTTGAGAATCTGGTAATACTCATTTTGTGGGTCCAAAATGGAAGGTTACATTGTTACCAGACTATACACCGACAGGGTTTTAGGGGAAATGATAGGAAGAAATTCAGGCTATTGTACCACTGGCTTCTTCCTGCAGCCTTCAGTAAGATTTTACAAGAAAGAGATAACCTTGGGCGGAATTGGGACAGTCAAAGCGAAAGAGGAAAAATACAGGTATGCCTGCTTTCTGAAAGTTCACGGGACGTCACTTTGTCTTTACAAAAGACCCACGTTAGGACCTGGTTTTGCTAGCTGAAAGAAATGTGAAGAGGATTTTCACTTTTATGAAAAAGACAAGAGACAGAACAAGGTTCAGTGTTGGATTTGCAGCGAGCCCTTAGGGAGGCAGCAGCACCCCGAGGATGATGGGGCACCCCCACTCTCCTTCCCCAGAACTACACTGAGCATCTCAGCAGCCAGCTCCCATAGCTCTCAACTGTGTCTGTGAGCATCTGTGCATTATCTTGATTTATGCTGTGCTATCTTTCAGTGAGCTGTGTCCTAAGGTATCAGAAAAGCCTCATAGAGGTTACTTTTTAGGTCTGGGGATGTTAAAAAATTTTCCGTAAATTTATGGTAACTGCTTCTCCACCTTTTGTCACTTTGGCTTTGCTGTGAGAAAGGCCCCTTCTGCCTGTTGCATGGAACACACGCCGCCTAGGGATTTCTTAATTTGCAGCCCTGCAGGGTTGGAAACTGGTCCAGATAATGAAACAGGGGAAGGGGCCCCTGTGGTGCTAGGTGTGTTACAGTTGCTTATTAAACAGCCTCAGAGCTCCTGGTTATTTGAAGATGCCAATCCTGGGAAAGGGCCACTTACCGTGAATCCATCTAAACAGGGGACCAGGGATGCCTGGATGGCTCAGTCACTTAAGTGTCTGATCCTGGGATCCGGGGATCGAGTCCTACATTGGGCTCCTTGCTCAGCAGGGAGCCTGCTTCTCGCTCTGCCTGCCCTGCCTGGCTCTCCCCCTGCTTGTGTGCGCTCTTTGACAAATAAATAAATACAATCTCAAACAAACAAAACAAAACAGGGGACCAGAATCTTGTAGTAAATACTGGGGGCGAAAAACTTCGTGTCTTTAGTTGGAAAGGGGAAATACTTTAACAAAGTTATATCTTCTACGTTCCATTTGACGAAATTACAACTGCATTCTCTAATTCTGATGAAAAAGAATGAATCAAACACTAATTTCTTTCGGTGTGATTTTTCTGACAAGTGGTGTTCTTTACTTTATGTCTGAATTCCACTGCACAGTCATAAAGCCAGTAATTTTGCCCAAACCAGAGGATTTCATCCATTCATCCTAAGGGCTTTTCTAAATCCTTCAAATTATTCACATTTGCAACATGAGTTGGATTTTTCTCTTCTTCAGCTGTGAGTGGCTTAACTGCTGGATTCCCCACATGTGATTCACGAATCCCCTGACGTCAACATTCCCTTCAGGGACTTCAGGAAACTCTGTACCTTTCCCGGGATATACAGCCAACGTGCACATGTTTACAAGCTCAATTAGCTAGAGGCGGGACACAGAAGGGAGGGATTTACATTATTTCTGGGAGGGACTAAGGGAATGTTTTTGTGGGAATAACTGATGTACCTTGTAAACTGGTGACACGATCATATTATAAAAAAATTGGCTTCTCTACTCAATCTTAGAATTTTGGCCGTGGATACTGAATGTCAGATATTGAAACGTCCCCTCAATATCCCCTGTTCCTCCCAAATTACAATGGACGGCTAAGTGTCAGGTTGATGACATAGGCTGGGTTGCATGGGCTTCTTCTTCTCTGATGACTTACTGGAACATTAGACAGGGAAGGTTCTGTCTTTGCTTCTAGTTAATGTTCACTGGTTCTCCATGGTAGAGGGTAAGGGAGGATGTTGACCCAGGACTCAGGGGAGGTGTGCCTGGGTTATATCTGTGCCATCCTTGAGGAAGGCTGGGACCCCCTCAGACGTGGGAAGGGCTCAAACCCTCCACTTACAGTGGAATGAGAGGAGGAGGCAGGCCTGGGAAGGGGTAGCCTAATGAGATGGATACACAGGGAAAGGCACGAGGGAGCACGAGCCTACTGTAGGACTTCTTTTTTTTTTTTTTTTTTAAAGATTTTATTTATTTATTTGAGAGAGAGACAGTGAGAGAGAGCATGAGCGAGTAGAAGGTCAGAGAGAGAAGCAGACTCCCCGCGGAGCCGGGAGCCCGATGCGGGACTCGATCCCGGGACTCCAGGATCATGACCTGAGCCGAAGGCAGTCGTTCAACCAACTGAGCCACCCAGGCGTCCCTACTGTAGGACTTCTTAACTCTAGTGCAGCCTGTAAGAGAAGGCTGACAACCAAAACAGGTAAAGAGGGCCAGGGGGACAGAGTGAACTTGCCAGCCCATCCCCTCCAACCATCTAAGGGCAGATGCCCCCACTGCGTAGCTCCAGCCCCTTGCTGCTGTGAGAAAATGTGCAGCTCACAGGGGCAGGCAGTTTCTTTTTTTTTCAAGAGAAACTTGAATTTTATGTGAAATCTCTTCATTTTTATTTTATTTTTAATTACCTTCCCTGACTTTTCAACGTTAGCGACAGATTCAATGAAATCCAACCAACCAACCGGCAGCAACGTAGTATGGACATGTTGCCTTTTTGCAACCTCAGGCTGCATGCTAGGATCACCCTGGAAGTGGGAAAGGAATGCCCGCTTGGGGACAGGGAGGGGTCAGTCTGATCTCAGCAAGTGGTTGTGTGGAAGGGAAGGGCAGGCTGTGAAGAAGGAGGGGAGAGTTGGTGGGAATGATAAAGGAAGCGTTGGCCTTGCACGAGTTACCAAGCTTTTCCCATACTTGCTCTAATTCAATTCCTGGAACAATCCTTTGAAGTCACTGTATTAACTCTGCATGCAGTAAGGTGTTAACTCGCCCGAGGACAGCTGACAAAATAAGAGGCATCAGGATTTGCACCCAGAACCGTGTGAGGCCCCAGCCTCTCATGACTCCTTGGGAAGCAAGTGTTCTAGGAGGAGAGCAGTACCATGCATTTGCTTACCCGGCACACATACTGGCTTTGGGGTCCTGGGGAGAAGGTCTTAGAGCGTATGATGGTGCTCCCCCGAAGAAAGGGCCCTGGGGATGGTGCGCCCACCCGGCGGTCCTTGGGCCGCACCACTGTGGGAGAGGGGGCCGGGGTCTCTGTGTTGGTCTCTTTGTCCACCTGAAGAAGAAGTCAGAGCTTTGAGGCTACTCGTATCCACAGTGTCTTGGCCACCGAGCTGAGGCTCTTGGGGTAGATTCCCCAGCTGCTCCCCACTCCCATCATCTGGCCCTTGACCCACAGATACAGCTGGGGGCTTTGTGCCAGGACAGCGCCCAAGGCCCCGAGTGCTGGGCAGGCCCCTATTCCTCCATGTGGCTTGGAGCATATTCAGTCCCCAAACAAGCTCACATGAGCAGTATGTGGACGGATGTCCTCGACTTCATGCCCTCAAGACGTCTATGCCAACCACATTTTGACAAAAGCCACACCCAAGGCCTCCAGTGCTGCCACCAAGAACCGCAGATGCTTCCCTGGAATTACGGAGGCAACCCGCAAATCTCAGTCTTTCAACCCGGGGAGCAGGTTTTCTACTGTCCCTTTACAGGGGGCACCAGCAACAGACAAGCAAACAAGAACACCTGAATGCAGGGCCCTGTTGGCCTACAGTGCCTTTGTGTAATTTTGAGAAAGGCACCCCTTCTGACTGCAGAGGCTGTAAAAAGACTGTACTTCGGGCGTGGAGCAGTTGGAAGGCTGCCCGAGGTTCTTCTCCAGCCCCTCCCGGCCAGGCACCTTTGTGCAGTGCGCAATCCGCAGCTCCACCCAGGTGCCCTGCTCGCCCACAACAGGGTGCTCTACTTCCTGCCGGAGCAGAAGACAGAGAGCTCTCTATGGAGATTGACTCTGGTTATTGTAAGTAATCCTAGCACAGCAGGGAAGGAGATGGTGAGGGGAACCTGACCGGACTCCTTTTTCCCACTGTACTTTTTCGGTAGATCCAAACAAAGAAACACATTCCTTTGAAACTTAAGAATGTGTCAGTGAGGTTGGTATTATTGTATCCATTTTAGAGATGAGGAAATGAAGGCTGGAAGGGATGAAGTCACCTGCCTAAGCCTGCACAGTGAGAGAGTAGCAGAGCCAGCTCCTGAACTCAGACCCATCTGGCCACAAAGCTTGAGGTCAGCCCGGAGATACGGGAGCAGCAGAGGGCAGGAGAGAGGAGGGGAGAGCCAGCCTCTCCTCGTTTATGGTCACTGAGATGCCCTGCAGTACAGGCAGAGGCGCTGCTATACAACCTTATGCAGGTCACCCCATTCCGAGAGCCTGTCCCCCAAGGCTGGAGGCGCCTTTTTGGAATGCCTGAACTCAGGCACCAAGGGCTGTTTCCCCAAGACAGACCTTCCGGTCTCTCTGGTCCTGCCTACCTTTAACGCTGGGCACTCGTCCCTATCAGGTGAGGCTTTCTCAGAGAAAACATCCTCTCCCTCTTCCTCATCTTCCTCCTCCTCCTCCTCGGCCGCCGCTTCGTTCTCGCTGGTCTCCTCGTACCTCCTGTGATGACAAAGAGCTTTGGTTACCACTCTGATCTGCTCGCTTGCCTCTAAATGCACCTAGGGCAGGGCTTCCAAGCCTTTTCACAGTTGAGGACACATTTAAACAAACAAAAATTAGTGAGGTCTAACTGTTGTATAACACAATGCATTTTCATTGTATAGTTTCATTTGACCAGTGTATTCCCAGCCGATGTATTCCCCGTGTAACTACTGCCACACTCGAGATACAGAACATTCCACAACCCCACATGGTTTCTTGTACCCTTTCCTACGTAACCTTTCCTACCCCCAGCCCACCACTGATCAGCTTTCTGTCCCTGCAGGTTGAGTTTTCTAGCATTTTGTAAACATGCAATCAGACAGTATGTGTTCTTTTGTCTCTGGCTTCATTCTCTCCATCTAAAGTCTCTAAGATTCAACTATGTTGGTGCCTGTATCGGCAGTCCACCCCTTTTCATTGCTGAGTGGCATTCTCAATGGGATGGATACATCACAATTCATACAGCTATTCATCTGTCTGGTGATGAACATTTGAAAGGCTTCCATTTCTTGGCAATTATGAATAAAGCTTCTTTTCTTAAAAAAATTATTTATTTAGACAAAGAGAGAGAGAGAGTACACATAAGCATGAGGGGGAGGAGAGGCAGAGGGAGAAGCAGACACCCTGCTAAGCAGCGAGTCTGATGTGGGGCTTGATCCCAGGATCTGGGATCATGATCTGAGCTAAAGGTAGGTACTTTACTGACTGAGCCACCCCAGCACCCCACTCCTCTTTTTTCTTTCCTTCAGATTTTTTAATTTATTTACTTGGGAAAGAGCTAGAGCACAGAGGCAGAGGGAGAAGCAGTCTCGCCAGATGTAGGGCTTGATCCCAGGACCCTGGTATCATGACCTGAGCCAAAGGCAGCCGCTTAACTAACTGAGCCGCCCAGGGGCCCCCTATTTTTTTCTATATGGATATCTGATGGTGTTCTGGCACCATGTGCCAAAGAGTTTATTTCTGGTGATACTTTTCATGATTATTCTTTCCCTTCGGACTTCAGGGTTGGGAGGAGTTGTGATAAGTAGACTGCATTTGTTAATTACTAATTTATCTTTAGTCCCATCTTCTCAAAGACATACATAATCACCAGTCTTCTGATCAGCAGGAGACAGTGCTGCCATACTGGGCTGAAGGAATTCCAGCCCAAAGCAGAGGAGAATCTGACATCCAGTTAGCTGGCTCAGTGAGACTGTGGATAAGTACAAAATCTCCTTTGGGATTTTCCCGATGAGGAGAAAAGATCTTGGATCTCCAGCCTCATGACTAAAACCTCTCCTGCCCTTAGATGAGGAGCAGTGCTAATGGACACCCCTTGCTCTCCCTCCCTTGCCCCCACAGCTTCTTCATCTACTCATAAAAGGACCATTAAATATGGGAACACACGATGAGCACCTCCCTAAGAATTTGGCAGATGCCACATCAACCAGCATTTATGGAAGGCTTAATAAGCACCAGGTGCCATGCTAAGGCCTTACAACAACACTGAAAGCAATTACTGTCTCCATTTTACAGATTTAAAAGCCAGGATCAGTGACTTTCCAGGTCCTATCTGGTGTCACACACCATGAAGGGGGCAGCCAGGTTTTCCATTTAATCTGTCCAACCTCACTAAATGCTTGACCACCAGGGAAGTCTTTTCTTTTTGACCATGAACCTGATCTAAATATTTCCAGAAAGGAGAACAAAAAAAATCTCAATTGTCACGAGAAACATGATTAAAGTCGACAACATCTTTTCACCCTGTAGAGTGGCAAAATATATAGAAGGCATGGGAAACGGAGTGTACGTCAGAGCAGCCAGTTTGCACAGTGAAGTCATTGTAGCAGTATCCGCTGAAATAAAACATGGACGTATTCCTTTTTTTTTTTTTTTTAAAGATTTTATTTATTTATTTGACAGACAGAGATCACAAGTAGGCAGAGAGGCAGGCAGAGAGAGAGAGAGAGGAGGAAGCAGGCTCCCTGCGGAGCAGAGAGCCCGATGCGGGGCTCGATCCCAGGACCCTGGGACCATGACCTGAGCCGAAGGCAGAGGCTTTAACCCACTGAGCCACCCAGGCGCCCCACATGGACGTATTCTTGATGAAGAACTGTAGTTAGACTACATGGAGTATCAGAGAGGGTGTAGGGTTAAGGGTAGTCTTAATCACTGCTGGGTGGGAGCATTTACTAGTACCATCTTATTTAAGAACTATTGTGCAATGCCTATTAAAATGTAAAGCACATATGCCCTGGGACCCCACAATACCATTTCTCAACCTCTGCCCTAGACACACACACACACAAGTTCCCAAGGAGGCAAACACAGGATTTTCACCCTAGCATTGTGTGTGATTACAGTCTCTTATATTTTCTAATACTCTTAGAACTTCGTTTTGCTGTGGATCTTAAGAAAGTCCAGGCTTGTGATTGTGTGCACTAAAGAAAGCTAAACAAATACAAGGAGGGAGTAACTATGGCATCCTGGCCCTTGGGTGCTGAGAGAACAGAGTGGAAATTAGAACAGAGGGCCAGTCTTTGGGGGACCCCCGCATAGGACTCTGTAGTGGAGCGGGCACAACAGAGTTAGTTAACATTCCAGGCCAAAAGAAGCCTCCAGTCTTGGGGGGAAGGGGCCTGCAGATGGACTGACTCCAGCACAGCAGCTCTGGGATTCCCAGTCCTCTTTGTAAGTCAGTGTCTAGGGAAGTTTGAATGGTAGGGGTGGGGAGAGAGGGGGCTGAGAAGGGAGAGAGAACAGAAGGCAGTTGCTAGGGGATGGCTTGAAAAGTCTCACCACAAGCTTGGAATTTGGCAGAAACCACTGATCTCGTGCCAGGGTTTTGGAAGACAGGTCCTGGGCCTATTTCCGGCATCAGACCTTTGCACAGCCTAGCCCAGCCCAGCCCAGCCCAGCGGTGTGCCACAGAGAGGGAGAGAGAGGGAGGAAGAAGGAAAGGGGAGGTAGGAAGCATTGGAAAGGGAGAGGAGAGACAGCGAAAGAAAGGGACATAGGGAGGGAGAAAGAGGGAAAGAGAGAAACTGAGACCGTTTAGAGTGAGCCCTAAAACAAACAAATGAACATACGAAAATTCAGGAACCTTGCCCTACCCTTTAATTGCATGGAGAAATAAGATGGTAAAAGAGAAGAGTAAAAGTGGGGTGGGGCGGTGAGCCAAGTCTACCCATGGCCAATTTTGGAAAGCCCAAGCTGTGAGTGGTTTTTATATTTTGAAATGGCTGAAAAAAAATCAAAGAGAGAATGATATTTTATGACATGTGCAAATGTATATGAAATTAAAATTTCGGCGTTTGCAAATGAAGCTTCAATGGCAGAGACGTGATGGTTGGTGCGTGTGCCACCGAGGGCTCCTTTCATAGCACAACCACAGAGGTGGGTAGACACACCAGAATCCGCACGGCCCGCGAAGCAGACATTTACTCTCTGGCCCTTTCCAGAAAACCTCTGCTGACCCCTGGAGTGAAAGATATTACGGAAAGGCCCTTTCTGAGACCCAATGCGTAACGAGGGGGAGTAACAATAATACAGAAGAGCTCCTGAGTGTTTCCCATGGGACAAAGTCTGTGCTAAGAGCTTATCATGCATAATTCAATTGAGTCGGCAGAATATCCCAGAGTTGTGGCCGCTCTTTAAATCTGTTATTTCCTGGAGGCAGAAACAGAGGTTTAGAGCCATGGTTGAAAGCTGCTCATTTGGGTCACTCAGGGAGCTTTTAAAATTCACTGATGCTCGGCCTCACCCAGACCTAGGATCCCCCAGCACGCGTCTGAGTCCCCAGCCCTCTGAGTTCTGAGCACGTGCACTGAAGCCTGACGATACTTCCTCCCAGAGGGCAAATTCACAGGCTCTGGTCATTTCTGAGATGGAATTTGCCTTCTGCCTTCCGAGCTGGTAGTTAGCAGCTCTCTCCTCATTTTCTGAGTGATCGTTTCTACCATCTACCGAGTGTCCACCATGAGCTCTGGGCTTCATCTTCATTACAGCAGCTTTCCCTTCAGCCCTACCTCAGCAAGCCCCCGTAGCCGGTGTGACAGCCCAGCCCGCTTTTCCAGATGAGGCTCAGATGAGGTCAAAGTGACTCGCCTGACAACAGCTGCCCTGTGGAGGGCAGTGGCCTGGAGGAAGCCCACTATGGGCTCTGGAGAGTGGGTTATGCTCTGTTTCTAGATCCGGATGCTGGTTACATGGGTACTTTGGTTTCTGAAAATTCACAGAGCCGTACACTCAGGGGAACTTTTAGGTAAGTGTGTCATACCACGAGAAAAAGTTAAAAACGCTTTGTTAAAGGTGGCCAAAGCATAATGAAGATAAGATTTGAATTTTGGTCTATACCACTGTTTGCTATGTGTGAGGAGACCTCTCTTTTGGGATCCAAGAGACTAAAGAGCCTCAAAGCACACAGACAGAAAGCTGTCTCCAGCTCTCCTTTGGATGCCGAGAAGTCTCTCTGGCAATGCATGTCTTTAATATTGCTGGAACACTGACTAATCTCCCTGTTTAGCAGTGAGAGAAGACCTCAGGCCCAGAGCCTTAGTGAGCAATATGTCTAGGCAGGTTTTAATACTCCTGCTTGATTTTCATGACATTTAACTTTCTATTACCTTCTGAGGCAGACTTGTCTCATGGCCTCCCCAGGATCCACTTCCATTGTCTTCCTTGGTAAGACAACCCTGATTTTCGTACCCAGCTTCACAGACCTCATTTCCCAGCCTCCCTTGCAGTTAGGTAGGCCAGATGGCTATGCGTGCCCAATGAGAATCAAGTAGAAATTGCTGGGTGGGACTCTGAGGAATGCTCCGTGGTTAAAAGGCATACAAACACATCTTTTGTCTTTCCTCTTTTCTGATGCCTGCCTGATGGCTGGGACTCAGCAGCCATTTTGAGCTATAAAGCAGTCTCGGTGATGGCAGTCACCCAGTAAGAAGAGCAAAGTGGAAGGAGAGGAGGAGCCTGGGTTCCCAGCAACACCATGGAGCTGACAGATGAGCCTGGGACTGCTTCCTCCCATTCTTCTTTGTAAGCAACAAAGAAATAAACGATCTTAATTTAAGCCTATTATTTCTCCTCTCTGTTTCTAGCAGTCAAATGCAATTGCTTATTGAAACATCTTCAATTTATGGCAGAATATACCTACTTCTGATATATAGTAATATAAGTCTGTTTTTTGCCAAAATAAATATAAGTGAGTAAACGCAGACACTAATATGTGAACTAGCACGAGTGAATTATAGATCACAAAATGACCAATTGGGAAGAAATTCTGGGAACCACTGTATCAGGCTATATGCAATTGATCTTGGAATAACACGGGTTTGAACTGCACGGGTCCACATATATATGGATTTTTTTGATATACTACAGGGCTGTATACATATCTTCTCTTCCTTATGATTTTCTTAACATTTTTTTCCTAGGGGCACCTGGGTGGTTCGGTTGGTTAAGTATCTACCTTTGGCTCAGGTCATGATCTCCCTTTGCCTACAGCTCCCCCTACTTGTGCTCAATGACTCTCTCTCTCTCTCTCTCTCTCTCTCTCAAATAAATAAATAAAATCTTTTTTAAAAAATTAAAAAAAAATTTTTCTAGCTTACGCTATTGTAACAATACAGTATCATCCATATAACATACAAAGTATGCATTAATGCACTGTTGATGTTATTGGAAAGACTTCTGGCCAATAGCAGACTGTTAGTGAAGTTTTGGGGGGAATCGAAAGTTCTATGTGGATTTTTGACTGTGCCGTGGCTTGGGGCCCCTAGCCCTTACACTGTTCAAGGGTCAGTTGTACTGCCTTATTGCCTGTAGAGAATCCGTGAGGAGAGAGGTTCTCCATTTTCGCAAAGGGAACACTTTTCTTGGTTGCCCTGGAGTTTGGGCATCTCATTACTGTATCCAGGTCCACACCAGATCAGTTCTGGAAGCCCAGGGGAATGCTCACTTACCAGCCGTCTTCCAGGGTCTGTGTGCTGCTCCTTCCCTCCTGCCTCTTCTCCAGCTCCACTGCTGTCTGTTCCAACAGAGCAGACACGGCATCCTGTGGAGACAAAGGCCCGGGCCTTCATGTGCATGCCACTGGAGCCACCTCACTGGGCAAGAATCGGAGCTCAGGGTGTGACCCTCCCCACGGACGGAGAATAAAACTGAAGAGCCGAGTGGGTGAGCATCCTGCCCCACGGTCACTTATAAACTGTAAGGACAGCGCTCAGTTCAGCTAACTGGCAGTTCTCCTGAGAATAACCCTGTCCGCTTGGACAGACTTTTGGAAGACAGTCAAGTTCAGTAGTTGAGTGAGGCAGAATTATAGGTCTCTGGCTATAAAGAGATTATAGTGTAGTTGGGAAGACCATCACATGAACTGTCAGTAACAAAATAACATGATGTGTAAGAACAAAGGAGCAATGGCAAAGTCAGCTTGTTGTATTCAGGGAAGACTTCCTGGAGGAAGAGCATCCATACTGAACAGTGTCTACAGTGAGGAAGCCTGTGTGACTTGAGGAAACTAACCTCTCTGAGACTCAGTTTCCTCTACAGTAGTTTCTAATAACTACTACAAAGGGCTGTTACGAAGATTAATTGAGAATATGTCCATAAGGTATATAGAAGAGTACCGAGTACATAATTAGCATTCAGTAAATGGCAGCTCATAGTAGAGCAAAAACTGCTCTTGTAGTTTTCTGAGCCCATAGTTAATCAGCAAATATCTTTGGTTGTGTGGGCCAGAGCCTGAAAACCCCCTGAAATTTTCTTTTGGGGAGGAGGGAACAGAAATCAGTTGAAGGCCTGGTATACGTCATGCACTGATAAACAGCTTATGTGTAGCATCTTATTTAATCTTTACAACTATTCTGATATGTAGAGCTTACAATTATTCCCTTGAGAAATGGGAACAAGGAAACGAATGTGTCTAAGGTTGATGTGACTCACCAAAGGACATGCTCTAGAAAGCAGAGGATATTTTCAAGACCTTTGCCAGCTCACGGACCCCTTTTTAGAATGAGGGAGACCTAGCTTTGTTGCTTATTGGATGTATGTCTTTAGGTAACCTTTCTGAGCCTTGGTAATGGCACATAATAAACACAGAAGGAAGTGCAGAAAATGAGGAGGATGAAAAAGGAGGTGGGGGTGGTGGGGAGGAAAGAGATTTAATCCTTACCCTTATCCTTAACTGGATGACCTAGCCCATCCCCTCCACTGAAATCCTGGGCAATGACTATCCAGAGTAACCAAGTACAGACTGTTCTTTACATGTGCTTCTTCAAACCTTCCTAATAACCTTTTCGGACTTAGATTAGACATAAAAAAAAAAAAACAACCCAAAAAACCCACAGAGGCTCAGGGAAGTGAAATGACTGACCTGTCACCCAACTAACAATCACCCAGTCCTTCCTGTGACTTTCTGTTGCCTCTTAGAGCAAGCCTCCACTACGGACCATGATGCTGGTAGTGGCTTCTCAAGAAAGGTTAATGTTTTATCTTACACAGTTTCTCCTTCCTACTCCACTTCACTAAAAAAACCAACATAAATCAAGGTTTTCATCAGCCAAGTTCTATTACGTCAAGCCAAGTGCAAAAGGGGAGAAAGCACAGATGTGGAAGATGTGCAAATGGGGGCTACCTGCCCCTTAGCAGAGCAGCTTGTCCTCCTCTCCCTCTCTGTTCCAATACCCTCGGCTGCTTCCCCCACCTCTGACGCCCGCTCTCTCCAGTTCAGGGAGAGGGTTTTCCGTCCATCCATCCAGGTGCTGCAGACATAGGAGGGTGGGGCCAACCCGGGGCCCAGCTCACCGTGCTTTCAGGCCCTGGGGTGGAGACCTTGGCTCCCACTGGTTTGGGCTCCCTGCTCTGTTTCTTCAAGTATTTGTAGCTCAGGAGGTTGTACCAGCGAGTCGACCTCTCCCCAGACCGACAGACCTCAGCCAGGCTGATCTGGGCGCCTCCCTGTTGAGGATGGGAAAAGGCACGAGGATAAGCCAGGGCTTGACAAGGTATTCTGGGGAATTTGGCTCCTGAGGGAAGTAGGAAAAACACCCCCAGAGGGGATGGGAACTTCTGGGAAGAGGAAAGGATGAGCTGTGAATCATTTTCTACAACTCACTCATTCACTAACTTACTCATTCATTGGTTTACTCATTCACCAAATCCTTGTTGGAACACCCACTGCGTGTATTTTTTTTGTTAATTATGATAAAAAACAAAAAAATTACCATCTCCTGTCCCCCAGTTTTACTGAAATATAATTGACATGTAACATTGTACTAGTTTAAGTTGTACAACATAAAGATTTGGGGGGGCGCCTGGTTGGCTCAGTTGGTAGAGCATGTGGCTCTTGATCTCAGGGTTGTGAATTCGAGCCTCAGGTGGGATGCAGTTTACTTAAAAAAATAAAGATTTGGAAGAGTATGTATTATGAAATGATTACCACAACAAGTTCAGTTAACATGCATCACCTCATGGTTATAATTTTTTTTTCTTACACGAGAGCTTTAAGATCTTTCCCAACAACTTTCAAATAAGTAATACAGTGTTGCTAACTAGTCCCCACCCTGTACATCACATGGCCACAACTTATTTATCTTATAACTAGATGTTTGTACCTTTTGAATACCTTTACCCATGTCCACTACCCACCCTCCACCCCCCATCTCTGGCAATGATCAGTCTGTTTCTATGAGTGTGGTTTTTCAGATTTCACATGTAAGTGAGACCACACAGTCTTTGTTTTTCTCTCTCTGGCTTATTGCACTTAATATGTTATCAAGGCCCATCCATGTTGTCATGTAAAATTTGCCCTTACTGTTAAGTGTATAGTTCAATAGTGTTTATATTTACATTATGCAACGGATCTCTAGTATGTTTTCATCCTGCAAATCGGAAACTCTATTCTCATTAAGCAGCTTCCTTTTTCTCCTTTTTCTCTTCCCCCGGTCCCGAGTAAACACCACTTTCTGTTTCTATGAATTTGACTATTTCAGAAACCTCATATAAGTGGCATCACTCACTTATTTGTCTTTCTGTGACTGGCTTTTTTCACTTACCATCATGTTTTCAAGGTTTATTTGTGTTGTAGCATGGGACAGGATTTTTTCCTTTTTAAGGCTGAATAATGTTCCATTATACACAGAGATCACTTTTTTTTGAGACAGAGTGTGTGTGCAAGCCAGGTTGGGAGGTGTGGGAACAGAGGGCGATGGAGAGAATCCTAACTAGGTTCTGCGCCCAGCACGGGGCCCGACGTGGGGCTCAATCTCATGACCCTGAGACTGTGACCAGAGCCAAAATCAAGAGTCAGGACTCTTAACTGACTGAGCCACCCCAGTGCCCCAGAGACTACACTTTTTAATCCATTTATCTACGGACACACATTCGGGTTGCTTCTGTCTCTTGACTATCGTGAATAATGTTGCTATGAACACAGTGTGCAAGTATCTCTTCAAGACCTCGTTTATGGGGGTGCCTGGATGGGCCTTTGCCTTCAGCTCAGATCATGGTCTCGGGATCCTGGAATTGAGCCTCACATACGGCTCTCTGCTCGGCGGGGAACCTGCTTCCCCTTCTCTCTCTACCTGCCTCTCTGCCTACTTGTGATCTCTGTCAAATAAATTAATAAAACCTTAAGAAAAAAAGACCTTGTTTATATACCCAGATATGAGATTGTTAGATCACAATGCAATTCCATTTTTAATTTTTTGAGGAACCACCCACGCTTTCCCATAGCAGCCCTGCCTAACGACTTAGACCCCACCAACAGTGCACAAGTCTTTTCTTTTTTCCCACATCCTTGCAAACATCTGCTGTCTCTTGTCCCTCTGATAATAAGCATTCTAAGAAGGATGAGGCGCTTTCTCACTGTGATTTTGATTTGCATGTCTCTGATGATTAGTGATGGTGATCATCTTCTTATATACCTGTTGGCCTTCTGTATGTCTTCTTCAGAAAAAATGATGATTTAAATCTTCTGCACGTTTTTAGCTTGGATTGTTTGCTTTTTTACTGTGGAGTAGTACAAGTGCTTTGTACATTTTGGATATTAACCCTTTATCAGACACATGACTTGCAGACACTTTCTCCTATTTGGTAGATTGCCTTTTCATTTTGTTGACGATTTCCTGTGCTGTGCAGATGCTTTTTTTAGTTTGATATAGTCCCACTTGTTTATTTTTGCTTTTGTTGCCTGACTCCTTTTTGAAGTCAGATCCAAAAACTCATCACTAAGACCAGTGTAGAAGATTTTGAACAACTCAAAGCTCCAGCAACAGGAGACTGCAGAAATAAACCATAATATACCTACCCGATGGGGTATTATATAGCTACATACAGAAAAATGAGGAAAATCTCTAGGTGCTGATGTGGAGAGACTTCCAGGCTGTACTGTTTTTGTTTTTGTTGTTGTTGTTTTTAAGATTTTATTTATTTATTTGAGAGAGAGAGAGAGTGAGAGAGAGAAAGCATGAGAGGAGAGAGGTCATCAGGAGAAGCAGACTCCCTGCAGAGTTGGGAGGCCGATGCGGGACTGGATCCCGGGACTCCAGGATCATGACCTGAGCCGAAGGCAGTCGCCCAATGAACTGAGCCACCCAGGGGCCCTCCAGGCTATACTGTTAAGGGGAACAAAAAAAAAACCCAACCCCCAGAACAGTGCAGAATGGAATATGCCATACGCTACATTTTGTTTAAGAAATGGAAAGGTGGGGCACCTGGGTGGCTCAGTTTGTTAAGCGACTGCCTTCAGCTAAGCTGGAGTCCCAGGATCGAGTCCCACATATGGCTCCCTGCTCAGCAGGGGGTGTGCTTCTCCCTCTGACCTTCCTCTATCTCATGCTCCCTCTCATTCTCTCTCAAATTAAAAAAAAAAAAAAATGGAAAAAGGGAAGAGAATACATATATTCTCTTTCTATATATACATACATTTTGCCCGTTTTTGAGGTGCAAGGTGAATATATGTACAAAAAGAAATGGTGGAAAGATAAAGAAAACACTAATCAAAGCGCTTAGCCATCTAGGATAGGTGGGGGGACTGGGTGCAAGGGTCAGGGGGAACACGATTTCTCTTCAGTTAATCTTTCTATATAGTTTTTCTTTGAATCGTGTAAACGGATGTCTTAAGATGGAGTGAAACAACACCGTATCAACCTAATTGAATGTAACCTCCCAGGGAAAGGATTTATTTCCGATGACACACATCCTGTGGCAAAAATGATAAAATAATTCTCACCATTCCTCAGAGGCCTTATTGTTTCAACATGCCCTCTTTCAAAGAGCCCTGACCAGGTCCGGGGTTTGGCTGACTCACCATCCCCAAAACAACAGTGGCTGTGCCAACGGGGTAGCAGAAGACACCACGAGCCAGTTTGTGAAGTTAGCCAGTAGCCAAGCGGTGGCTCGAGTGGCCCCTGAGATGAGGAGGGGCCTCTCCAACCCACCTGGGATCCTTTCCCCCAGTTTTTCCTTCTGTCAGGATGGACCAGGCATGGTACGGACTGTGCAAACCCAACGTGTGGCTAACGGCTAATTTCTACAACAGTGGTGAGTAAGTGGGGAAAACGAGGTAAATAACTCCTACCCGCGGGACTAGAGTCAGTTCAGGTATTAAATGGCCGGTGCATTTTAGGCACCTGTAAAACATTTACATATACACAAATGTGTGTGTATTACTCATTTATTCATTTAATAAATATCCTCTGAGCACTTCGCAGCAGACTTACACAGGAACATGTAAGACAAGGTTCTGCCCTCAAGGGGCTCAAAGACAGACAAATGCATCAGACATTATGGTTCAGAACATGCCAGGTCATGTTCAAGGGGTAGGGGGGGAATGAAAATAATGACAGCTTTGAGGTGTGACACGCCGTCAGGTCACTAGTAATTCTAACAAGATACACCATGTATTTTGGACTGGCTCATAGGTGAGAATATGGTCTACTTTGGCAAACGATTTGCTTTGAAGGCATTCATTTATTTATTCAACACACACACACACACACACACACACACACACACACACACACACACACACACACAGTAGCCTCTACGTGCCAGACACTGTTTTGGGTGCTGGGGATACAGGAAGATTTAAGGCAGATAAAAATCTCTGCCCTCACGAGCTCACATTCCAGTCTGGGGGAATCAGATAAACAAATTGAAAGTAAATACTAGATTGTATTTCATGGGACTCTAAGATGCCATTAATTATACAATATACTATTTCATGCACTCTAAGAAAGAAAACTAGTTGCCAATTAAACTATGACCTGTCATCTAGTATAAAGTGCATCTTGATTTTAGAGATTCAATAAAATGTGAAAATCATGTATGCCCTAAAATCTGTGATATAAACAAAGGGGGAACGTGCCGCAGAGAAAAAGAATACAGAGAGAGGGGAGCGGGGGCGGATAAGAGAGGGGGGAAAGGGACGGTGATTTTAAATAGGGTGGAAGGAAGACCTCACTGAGAAGGTGACTTTTGGGTCAAGCCCAGAATGAGGCAGGGGAGTGAGCCTTGCCCATCAGTATCTGGGAGAAGAGAATTCCGGTCAGAGGGGACAGCAAGTGCAAAGGCCTAAAGCGGGGAGCATGCTGATGTATTCAAGGGGCACGAGGAGGCTGGAAGAGTCATCCTGGGATGAAATCTGGGAGAGTAATAGGGGCAAATCCCCGAGGGCTTTAGGGGGCAGGCAAGGAGCCCAGGAGTTGACTCTAGGTGGACAGAAGCTACCCTAAGGTTTTAGGTTAAAGGAGTCTCACGCACTGATTTGCAATTTAACAGGCTCACTCTGGCTTCCATGTTAAGAGATGAAGGGAGGCAAGGACCGACACAGGGAGACCTGTAGAGCTGGCTGTAGGATCCAGGTGACAGATGGCAGTGGGGCAGTGGGCAGTGGTAAATGGCTGGGATCTTTTTTTTTTTTTTTCTTGGCAGAGGATTTTTAGTTTTTTTATTTTTAAACTTTATTATTTAGAGCAGTTTTAGGTTCACAGAAAAAAAACTGAGTGGAAAGTACAAAGAGTTTCCATACACCTTCTGTCCCCCAAAACACACAACCTCCCCCACTATCAACATCTAATGGCTGGAATCTTTTGAAGATGAAGCTGCCAGAAGTTTCTAAAGGACCGGATGTGGGGTGGAGAGGAAGAAAGGGGTCAAAGATGACCCTGTGGTCCCCAGCCTGGGCAGTGGAAGGACAGGGTTACTGTCAGCTGGGACAATGAAGACACAAAAGGAAAGATCAGGGGTGTGCTTGTGGACAAGTTCGTCTGAGATGCTTCCTGGACAGGCAAGAGAAGATGTGAAACAGACAGTGGGAGTGTAAGGCAGCTGCGTGTGCAGAGGCCCCAGCTGGAGCCAGACATCTGGCATGGTGGTGGACGCCAGAGAATGAGGCTCTCAATCACCGGGGCAGGGGATGCGAATGGAAAAGGAAGAAGGGCGAGACCTGAGCCCTGGTGCCCTGCGACACAGCAGTCGGGGAACTGAGAAGAATCAGCGGAGACAGAGAAGCCAGTGATGAGGGGAGGACGCTGAGACTGAGGTGTCCTGGAGGCCAAGTCAGGGCAAAGGATGCCGAGGAAGACTCGCCGAGCAGAGCGACTGAAAAAACACGGCTGACCAGCCAAGGGAAAGGAGGATAGAGCAGCGGCCCCCAATGACCTCACTGAGCACACTTCTAGTGGAATGGTGAGGACGGAATCCCATGTGAGCTGGTTTCCAGAGAGAACATGAACACCCTTTCCACAATTTACTATAAAGGAAAAAAACGAGGTAGTAGCTGGAGGGAGAAATGGGTAAAAAGCTTCTCTCTCTCTCTCTCTCTCTCCCTTTTTCTTTTTTTCTTTTTGGGTTTCTTTTTAAGCATTGGGGCATTCCCAGCATATACTGACAGGCCAGATCCAGTGCAGGAAGGACTGGAGAGAGGACAGAGCCCGAGTCACCAGTGCCATGGTGTCCCTGAGAGAAGCCTGCTTCAGACGGGGAGTGGGGGAGGACCGAGGGGAGAGCCAGGAGAAACGGCAAGAACGAGTGAGGCAAGGGCCTCAGCAAGGGGAGCCTGACCTGGAGAAGCTGCTGCTAGAAATGTGAGGACAGACGGGCAGAGGAGGGACTCTCCGGCAGAGGCTTTAACCCACTGAGCCACCCAGGTGCCCCTCATTTTATGTTTTATAAACAAATAATGTATGATTGCCCCTGGGACAAAGGGAAGGCGATGGGCCTAGGGAGAGGCAGTATCGGTGCTGAGTAGCACTGAGTAAAGTAGCACTGAGTAAACCCTAATGAGGTTTATGACCTCAATTTTATTTTTTTTAAAGATTTATTTATTTATTTGAGAGAAAGGGAGAGCATGAACACACATGCACACTTGTGTTGGGGGAGAGGGGCAGAGGAGGGACTCTCCGGCAGAGGCTTTAACCCACTGAGCCACCCAGGTGCCCCTCATTTTATGTTTTATTAATAAATAATGTATGATTTGTTTTAGGGGTGCAGGTCTGGAATTCATGTCTTACACAATTCTCAGTGCTCATCACAGCACGTACCCTCCCCAGTGTCCGTTATATGACTACCATTTTAAAATGAGACCCCACAGCTTGGCTGTGTTTCCCTCCAAGTGCAGGGGTGAAGAATAGTTCACTTTGACAGGGCGGGGGTTTTCCCTAGTGGGGAAGGCAAGGTGAAACGGAGCAAGGGAGCCTCTTTGTTGTAATGGTTACCTGTGGGATAGGAGTGGGGCCTGGGAAATGGGCTTTCTTAACAGAACCTGTGCCAAGTGGCACTGAGCTTAGCAGCTGGGAGTGGACGACCAGGGCATGAACAACCAGGGCCCAGCTGGAGAGCCTGTGACCCCTGTTATGCCATACTCAAGCATCTGGTATAACTGTTACCTGAGATATTGGGGAAGGCAGGCCTCGTATTCATCCTAACCCATAACTCAGGTCTGGGGGCGGTGGGGGGGATGACACAGGAACCCCCTGAGAGGCAGGACAGTACAATGCCTGTGTGGAAGGAAGCTGCAAAGGAATCAGGCTTCTCCACCAACTTGATGGGTGGCCTGGGCAGGCTACTTAGCATTCTGGGACCTTGATTTTTTTTTTTTTTTAAGATTTTATTTATTTATTTGACAGAGAGAGCGAGAGCGAGAGCGAGCGAGAGAGAGAGAGAGTGTGTGTGTGTGTGTGTGTGTATATAAGCAGAGAGGAGAGGCAGACTCCCCACTGAACAGAGAGCCTAATGCGGGGCTCTATCCCAGGACCCTAGGATCATGACCTGAGCTGAAGGCAGATGCTTAACCCATTGAGCTACCCGGGCACCTCAGGGGGCCTTGATCCTTTGTCTGACACATGGAGGCAATTCTGACATCTCTTCCTCAGGCTGCTGGGAGGGTTGAGTGCGATGCTGCACAGAGTTCTTAGCACAGTCCTAGACACGGACACTGCTCAGGATGGGGACCACTGCTGCAGGCTGGCTGACGAGGCAGCTCCAAACATCAGGGATTCCCCAAACCCAGCACTGTAGGGAGACCGCGTGGGAGCACACAGCCTTTCTCCTCGAGTCCCACGTCCTCGCCTGCTCCTCTAACCACCAAAACACGGCAGCCCGACACTCCACATCCCCACAGGAAACAGGAAAGTAGGTTTCCCATTGGCCACAGACAGAGGCAAGCCACACTGGGATGAGCGCTTTGGCTGCTGCCATGGCAACCAGCAATGGCCAGACTTCCATTAGGAAGGAGGAATAAAAGACATCCAATTAGGAGAAGAGAATAGGATTCTCTTCTCACTGAGGAATTCCCAGGGCTGAGGAAGTGCTTCAGCAGAAGAGACTGGCTTTAGAAAACCTTTCTGCTCTAATATCCAGTGCCTCCCCTGCTCGCCAGTCTTCAATCAGTGTCCTAGCTGTGGGCTCCGGTGGGACTGACATGAGTGGGCGGTGCGAGGGGACTTGCTGTAGGTTCTAACCGCTCCAGCCACTGTGTGACCCTGCAAAGTTCTGTGACCTCGCTGTTCCTCCGTTTCCTCACTGACGTAACAGTACCTGTTCCATAAGATTGTAGTGAGGGTAGAGAAACCACACGACTGCAGCTTAGCTCAGCACCCACCACAGCAGGTCCCTTCAGTCTAGGGGTGTTATCGCATTATTGCCAATAACAGTATCAGCAACATAAACGGCAATGATGTTGTTCTGTACCCCAGCGGAGGAGGGGCAGGAGTGGGAAATGAGAGCCAGCAAGCATCTAGTCTGCACAGACACATCCCTGTTTTACTTGCTGTGGGGAGCAGCAGCCATCGGTAGCGCTTGGGAACTTAATAAAAATGCAGAAACTCCTGCTGTCCCCGCCTGTCCCCAGTCTTGCTGAATCAGAATCTCCATTTTTAACCAGAGCCCCAGGTAACCCGTGTGCATGTTCAAGTTCCAGAAACTCTGCTTTAATCCTCATTTAATCCTCAGAGAGCCATCTGTGAGGTAGGCAGTGTTAGCTGGATTTTGTAGATACGAGACAGAGAATTAGGAGTCGTAGGCAACACAGCCTCAGGCACAAGGGACGCGGCCTCAGTTGTGGGGCTCAGAAAGGAGCTTCCCACTTCTTCGCTCCCTGCTCGCCGTGAGTGTGAGAACGCTGTTCGCCTGCCCCAGAGTTCCCTGCCTGGAACCCAGGATGAGCTTGCGTTTTCTCTAAGCCTCCTCCTCCCTAAACTGCAAGGTGGGCCCATCCCCAGAAAGACAGAAGGCCAGACAGACACAGACAGACAGACAGAGCCCTCACCAGGCACTCCTCCAGATGGCTCCTGTCGGTGGTACAGACATCGACTCTTAAGGTCTTCTGGTGAAGGGCTGGATAGGACATGGACACCCAGAACATTTCATTGAACACGAGGGTGTCTGAGGCGTCCAGGGGCCGGGTCCGGAACAGGCAGGTGGTGCTTTCGGAGCAGGGAAGGATAGCTACGCGAATGTTCCTAGAGGGAGACAGAGAAGAGCCCAGCTCAGCCCGGATCTGGGCTGATGTGTTGGGCTAAATGGTTGCTGCGAATCCCTCAGCAAACAGCAGTGGGGAGTCCAAGTTCTCAAGGAGTTGTGCAGGTATTCGTAAGGGAAGCAGAAAGGGCCCCCAGATAACACATCACTCTTCCTTCTTCTGAATCCCCCAATCCCCAGAACCTCAAAGTGGTTGGAGCCTGAGGCCGACAGTGTGCAAACTTCCGTGCGCAGAAGAATCAGCGAGTCTGCTTGCTAACACTCGGGAAGCCTTACACAACCACTGGTAGGAAGGCAAAGTGCTACAGCCCCACAGAGGGGACAATCACAGAGGCACTGACCCTGGGACCCATTCAGCTGGCATCTGGATACTCTCCCACAGATACCCCTGCACAAGAACCAATGAGAGACGGAGCAGGTCATTCATTCTGGCTCTGTTTGTAAGAGCGGAAGATTGAAAACGACTCTGCTATCCCATCTTGTCGTCCTTCTGTTTGGCCGGCTTTCCTCCCGCCTTTCCCCTTCCCACACATCGCAGCCTCAGATGCTGGCTGGGTGCAGACGACGGAAATAGGAGTCCTGTTGCTGCCCCAACGTGCACCGTCTAGTCAAAGAAGAAACATGTAGGCAGAGGAAATGCAACGAAATGGAGAGCCGGTGGGCAGTGGGAAGAGCCAACAGGCAAACAGGGCAGTGTTCGCTGCATCATCCCCTGTAAGGTAAGAGCCATCACACCCTTCCGACAGAAGTGCAGCGACGGGCACTGACTCTTGAGAACGGCAGACCCTTCTCCTTCTGTGTGGAATACTTGGGCTTAGAGCAGACAAAAGGGGCCATGACCACCTTCTTCATAAGGCTTCGAGTTCACAAGGGCAAGGATGTGCTCAGCGCCCCATTCTTGTGCCAGCCCACGGCAGGTGCTCACAACGTACTTGGGAAGGAACTAAAGCTGTGGAGAGTGCTTCCCTTTACAGTTAGTGAGTTCACCATCACGCCCGAATCCACACTCATGGCACGGACATGTGGCATGACGACAGTCACACGTATTAAACACACACAGAGCCCACTGTCAGAGCAGGATAGAGGAGGAGAGCACCCCCAGGGAAAGCCACAGAGGCTGAGAGGGTGACAGACACGGTGTCAGCGATATACTCACACTTTCTGGTCCTGCTGCAGCGGCAGAGCAGAAAGGTTACTGAGCTGGATGATTAATATTGCAAATTGCTTATTCTTCTCATCATACCTGAAATGGAAAGGGGCATACGGAGCTCCTATGAGTGACACATTTCTCTCTCTCTCTTAATGATCACCAATGTGGCCACTGGCTGCTCGGGGGTGCTGTGGTGAGCTTGGGGGCAGAGGGCCCGGGCTTTGCTGCCATGCAGGGGTGTAGGTACAGAGCTGTCAGTCTCAATGTTTAAAGAGAAGCCAGAAGATTGCGCTATCTGAAATTTCTTGATATTTAAATGTTGGCCATTAATTTCTACTGAAAATAATATCGAGGTCATCTTACACCGAGAGAAAACCACAAGAATAACAAATCTGAGCTGCAGCCCCCAGAGGGTGGAAACCTCAATGGGATGGTAAGACAAAAAGCCACAGCAACAGTGACCAAACAGACCGACACGCTGAAGGTCTCAGTCAGGGTCTGGAGCTGTCATCGGCCAGCTCCGTGGGTTGGGGTAAGTTGCAAGGTCTTCAAGACCTCATTTTTTTTTTTTTTTACGATTTTATTTATTTATATGACAGGCAGAGATCACAAGTAGGCAGAGAGGCAGGCAGAGAGAGAGAGAGAGGTGGAAGCAGGCTCCCTGCTGAGCAGAGAGCCCAATGCGGGGCTCGATCCCAGGACCCTGGGATCATGACCTGAGCCGAAGGCAGAGGCTTTAACCCACTGAGCCACCCAGGTGCCCCCAAGACCTCATTTTTAAACTCTTTTGTAAAATGTGGAGCTGAGAAGGAGGGAGAGGGTTGGCCCCCTTTAGCTGGGAGCCCTCAGCTCCCTGGCAGGTCCTGCTGGGTCTGCCTTCCTCCCCCCGGCAGCCATGAAGGTCAAGGCTGGGAGGATGCTGCCAACCATCCCCTCTGCATCTGCCCTCCCAGTCACTTACTTCAGGGCAATCTGAACCCGGGTTGTACCCACTGCTTCTGATTCATCACTGTCAAAAGCAGCAGCTTCTGAAGCACCCAATCTGGAAGGCAACGTAGGGAAGAAGAGGGTCAGGCTTCCCTGCAGTAACCTAGGGCCAAAGCCATTTTCCAGACACGGGGTTCTCTCTGGCAGGGTGCGGCTGGGTCTTCCCCCTCTTCCCTGGAGGGAAGTCTGGGTCAGCTCAGACTCCCTGCAGACCCTTCCTTCCCACAGCTGCTCAGGATTCCTCTCTGGAAGGGGCTGTCCTTTCTCCAGTACTTGCCCCCTTAGCTACACGCTCCTTCGTGGCAATCACAGGACCAGCACTCCCACAAAGGCGACGTGCCCCCAGCCCCAGGAGGAACAGTGCTGTGTACACCTTTAACACATCCTAAACAGGGCTCCCGGCGGGGAAGGTGGGGTCACCTGGCCATGCCCTCCCACATACCAGTGGGGTCCCGGGCTCTGCATTCTCAGACTTCCCAAAGAAAGCCAACACTCAGGGACCCACCTCTGCACAGAAGCCTCATACACACCACTGTCCCCGGCCACGGATTCATCTGACACAGCAGCTGAGACACAGGCCACTTTCAGGCTGCACCCCTGGGCTGTATTCATAGCTGGAGGGGAAAGGGGGAAAAAGGAAGGATGGCAAGGTAGGATTCAGAAACCAGGACGCTGTCTTTGCAACATATACTTTTGATCTACTCTCTGTCCTAGGGCGGTCCTGCCAATACCACCTCTGAACTCAACAGCAAGGTCCTGCCTTGTTTTGGGGTGTAGGTTTCTGTCGTTGAATATCCCAGACTTGGAAGCCCACATGCCTGGGTGCACATCTCAGCTCCACCACTTACTGCTTTGCGACGCTGGGACATGGCCAGAGAGTCTCTGATTCCTTCTCTGTAAAACGGGAAAAGTAACACCTACCCTATGAGGCTGCTGGGAGGACCCAATGGGACATTCTAGTGAAGTCCTCAGTACAGAGCCTGATGCAGGAAAGCACTCGACGAAATTCAGTACCACTATCCTTACTGCAATGCTCATTCCCACCACTGTGCTGATGCCTTCTAGATCGATCCCTATGCATCTGGGGCAAAATAACAGCCCCTGGACCCTTGGGAGGGGCAAGAGGAAAACAAGGGAGGATTTTACCACTCAGCTTGTTCCATCCCATTCTTAAGTCCGCTCCTTAGCTCCCCTTCCCTTGACAGAGGCCCTCAAAAGTCTCCGACCCAGGGGTCCAACCAGGCACTTGGCCCATGCTGCACATTCCTTCTCCCCCTAAGTCGCAAGCGCCGATGGTAGCCAGGCCCACTGCCAGGCTCTGAGCTATCAAGAGGGACAGGACAGTTCCTGAGCTCCATGCAGTGGGGAAGACTGGGTTCAGGCCCTTCAACCCCACAGCCAGCATTCAGAGTGCCTGCTGGGTGCCAGGCACCGGGGCAGCCCGGAGAAGAGACTGGCCCAGGCTGAGTGAAGGGATGGGGACAGCGAGCCTGGGGGAAGCCAAGAGACCATCTGGGTGCAGCTTTCCCAGCCTGCGTCCCACGCCTGCTGCGGCCAGCGGAGACCTCCCGCCTTTAGACCCACGCATCTCCACCCTCCACTAAGCCACTTAAGGAGATTAATTTGTCTGCTGACTGAACAGCGGCACTAATCGCATAACCTGCTTAGTGTCAGAGCTCAGCCTGGCATCGCTCACCGCGGGGATGGCATTTGGAGACGGCGTGAAGGAAAACCCCGTCCTGAGACATGTGCGGTCCTTGGTCCACAAGTCCCAAGGACGCTCAGGGAGGAGTGGGGTCACTCCGGCACCTTGCTGGGCCCCTTACTTGGCTCGCCGCCAGCCTCTGACAGACTGTCAGGAGCTTCGGGAGCCTCCTTAGAGGTTCTGCCGGCACCCGCTCCTCTCCAGGGGGCAATTTTCTGAAGTTGGCCACCTGCTGTCGTAGGAAGTCTATTTTTATTTTTGTTTGAGAGCACTCAGCAAGACTCCCTTCCTGATGAGGGAGTCCCAGGGATCTCTCGGCTTCTCTTCTAAGGAAATGGCTGGCACTCACCCAGAGGAGCCTTTAATTAACCAGGAAATCTCATCTTCCCCCCACCTTGCTCCCACTGGCCCTTGCACTCGGACGGATAATTCTGGGCATCGTAGCAGCCATCCTGCCTAGTCCTGGAGCCTTAAGGCTGAGATGGGTCCAGCGTCTCCCACCAGGCCTCATGAGGAGCCAGGAGAAGGAGCCCTGCGCATACAAAGCCGGCACGTCTTAGTGTGGATCTGGGCAGGTGGTCCTGGAGCCAGTCCAATTCTACCACTTCCTAGCTATGACACTGACCTTACTGGGCCCCACTTCCTTTGTAAATGAGGATAAAAATTGCACCCATCTCACAGAGTTGTTATGAGGCTTAAATGAGTAAATACGTTACAGTGACCGTATGCTGTATACCTGCATTTAGTAACTGACACCAGGAAAGCCTGGGAACTGCAGGTGAGCTGTCTGGGCACCTGGCTCAGTTTTGACCTTTACACCAGATGGGCATGGTGGGGCCAGTAAGCACCAGAGTGTCTCAGGAGCAAACACACAGAGCCGCCTCACATCTAGAGAGGAGTGCCATGATCAAGAGGTTGGGTGCTCGGGCAGGAAAACCCAGGTTCCAATCCCTTCTTTCCCCACTTGCTGGCTGGAGGACCTAGAGCAAGCAATACCACCTTTCTGAACCCGCTTCCACATCTGTGAAATGGGCATAATAGAAATAACCTATTTCACTGTATAAAGCACATTGCCCATCACATAATATACCCCAATAAATGATAACTATTATAATTTAATATGTAGTTGCTGCAAAAAAAATGAAGAATTTCTCTCCTGACAAATCTTAGCTATACTGTCAGCATTTCTGTCTTGCAGATTCCAACTTGAATCTCAATCCATGGCAAAATGTTCTTTCCAACCCCATGCAGAATGGGAGCCAGATTATATCATTCCCCGATTCAAACGATCATATGGGTCCCTGCCGCTATTAGGATAAAATCCTAACTCCCTAGCATGGCCCGCCGGGCCTCAAATGACCCAGACTCTGCCTGATTCTCTGGTTTGCTGGAGACCTCTAAATGCTGGCCTCAGAGGTTTTGCTCCTGCTTTTCCCAAGGCTGGCTCCTTCTCACTCTTCAACCATCCACTCAAATGTCGCCTTCCTCTACAGCCCAGTCTGAATGTGCAGCCCCACCCCAACCGGAATGGCCCCACTGCATCCAGTTTAATTTTCCTTCTAGGGCTTTCATTGGTCTGACAGACCAATGTGACTTTCTGTGCCTTCATTTCATATGAACTTCCTAGGGACAGGGACCTTGAGCTTGCCTGCCCTTAATGCTGTATTCTTGTGACTAATCCTGTGCCTGGCACATGGCCTATCTGTTGAACGAATAAAGAAACCTGCATACATCCATGAGCACAAGCCCTGGCATTTAGTTTTAACAGATACTTAATATCTGTTGAGTGAAGGAGTCCACCACGGAAAACCCCCTTAGCCCAGGACCCAGAACATGGTAAGCACCTAAAAAGTGCCTACTGAATGACTAAATGAATTGATAGAGATGTGAAGGCCGGGCACACAGAAAGCAGTCAGTGAATGACCACAATTATCCCTGGGATCTGTGCTCAGGCCTGAGTGCACGTCCTACCCTCCTCCCTCCCTGCGGTCCCCCTTCTGGATGTGATGCTCTCTACCTTGGCCCAATGGTTTGCCTTCCGTTCCTGGTTCGTCCAGCGGGTACCTCTCCCGGGTGCTGCTGCTGAGGCTCAGTTCACAGAGAGCGGCACTCAGCTCTGGGTCTTCAGACTCCAGAGGGCTCAGGAAAGCATCTCCAGCCAGGAGGGGGTCAGCAATGAGAGGGGAGCAGGGCGGGGATGGAGAGGAGAGGGAAGAGCGGGGGGACAGGGAGGTCATGGACTTCGGGGTGCCAGACAGGGAGCGCAGGGCCTGCAGGCGGCTGCCCCCCTCTGCCTTCTGGGTCTTGGCCACCTCGTCCTCATGGATGGTGGTGATGCAGCCTGAGGGCCGGAAGCCCGTGGCCCCCTCCAGGATCAGAAACTCCACCTTGCTCTGCAGCTCTGAGTCCAGTGGCTCGAAGGGGTCATAGTAGAGGTCAGTGAAGCTGGCTGAGGTGGAGGAGTCCAGGCTGGAGGCGGCCAGGGAGCCCCGGCTGGACGTGAGGGATCCAGGGCTGCTGCCTGAGGACAGGGACTGCATGCTGCTTGAGAGGCTGGGGGCAGGGAGAGAAGAGAGGGTGAGTAACGCAGAACGGAGTGGGCCATCTGGAACCTCCTTCCTGGCTCGGAATAGCACTACGGCCACTTACAACACCATTTTTGTTAGACCCTCTTGACAGTCTCAGGGGGAACCCTGCACCCCCATTTCACTAAAGAGGACACCCTCAGAAGCCCACAGAATCAGAAAGTGCCAGAGCCGGGATTCAGACCCAAGTCAGCTGCCTTAGAAGTCCACCTTTTCTTGTCTCCCAAACCTCCACCGGCTCTAGTCCATTTTCACACTTTTCCCCTCTATGAATCCATCCCTATTTCTTGATAGTTTTCCTCAGATAATCTCGGTCATTACTCATCAATATGTTTATCTTAAAAGGAAACTTTATATCCTAAGTGTGATTGGAAAAGCAGTATCACTTACTGCAAAAAGAAGGTGAGCATTACACATCTCTGATGGAACAAAATGTTATTAAATCCCAGCGATGCGCTGCTGCCCACCAAGGCCCAGGCCTGAGGCCTGTGCTCCGTGTGTCAGGAAAGCGGGTGGGCAGGTATTCGAGACGTCAGTGAGACACACAATGGGGGCCCGCTCCTTGGTGCTGGCAGAAGGACTGAGGGCGCCACAGTCCAGAGAGCTGGAGGACCCAGCCCCTGGCCACGCCGGGCCCAGCCCAAGCCCAAGCCCACCAGCCTGACCAGCTGCCTGTGGTGCTTCGAAATGCCCGCACTCAAGCCGTGGAACACACTGGAAGGGCAGAGCCCAGCCGTGTGGCCACACTCACGGCCTGCCACTCACCTTTTCAGCTGGGAGTGCAGCGCTGCGACTTGTCGGGTGGCTTCCTCCAGCTCTCTCACCAGCTGGTTCCTCTTACTGTTCAACTTTAACCTGAAGGGACAGAGGGCATGAGTGGGGAGCCCCAGGAGATCCAGCCTCCATCCACCTGAACGAGGAATCGTAGGCAGGTACTTGCGGAGATGTACACAGACCCACAGTCACATACACAAGAATCTTCCGGAAGCATTTTACCACGTTTGGGGAGACAGGGCCTCCACATACGACCCTCTAGTAATGGCTATACTCATCACCTACTACATGCCAGGGGCTATGCTAGGAAACGTATAACGTAGCCTTAATCCATCTGCACAATAATCCTGCACAGCAAAAATGGCTTTACCTCTTCACGTATGAGGAAATTGAGGCTCTTAGAGTTAAATAATTTACTTCAAGCTAGAGAATTAGTGGCAGAATTAGAATTCTACCCAATCATCCCTCTCTCTCTTTCTCCCCCTTCCTTCCCATCCATTGGCCCCTAGCCACCCGCCAATATCTGCTGAGTGCTTGCCTCATACCAGAAACTGTCATTGGCACTAGGGATAAAGATGTTGTTGGCACTAGGGATAAAGATGTGAGCGACACAGAACTAGTTTCTACTCTTACGGAGCTTACATTCTGCTGGAGGGTGGGGGGCAAATATGAAGAGAATACTCGGATCTCTAGTATCTAATTAACACGCTGTGTGTCAAGGTTTATGAGGAAAAAGTACAGAATGGCAGAAAAGAACGCAGGAGAGACCCAACTGAGACTGGCAGGTGGGCCTTTTTGAGCAGATGACTGTGTGGCTGGGCCTGTTGGTAGATCTATGCTCTTCTCCGCTCCCTGACCCCACAGCCAGATGCCTTCACAGCTTCCCGGGCAGCTGGGTGGGTGGAGCATGGGACAGGGTTTCGGACAACAGGATGTGAGTGAGGAAGGCACATCAGGCTGACGTGGTAAAGTTAGTGGATCTTTCCCCCAGCTGCCCGGAGGGCTCTAAGAGGGGAGGTGGGAAGAGCTTGGGTCCTGAAGGTCCTGAAAGACCAAAACACATGGAAGCCTGCCTGTCAGCCACGCATACTTGACTGGACGCTATGTAGGCAAGACACGAGCTTCTGCTGCGTTAAACCATGGAGATTTGGGGGTTGTTTCTTGCAGCAGGTGACTAGCAGAGACATTTAAGCTGATAGGAAGGATGGACAGGAGGTGGTCAGGAAAAGTGCAGGGGAAAGAACATTCCAAGCAGGGAATCACAGCAGGGAACTCTTTCATGTTAAGGTCACCATGGCTGCTGTGAGAAAAAGGTGGATGTGGATGGGAGGCAGGGACAAGACGTTGGAGTGGCTACGATGGTGTGATTGAGAAGGCGTGGGCCAGGGTGACACTGGAGTGGACAGAGAAAGGTCACAGGCTGGATGAGGGGAAAGGCTGAGGGAGTTAAGAGGAAGACTGTGAGGTACCTGCCACTAGCAACTGAACAGATCTGAGATGGCTCCTGCGGAGATGGGAAGGTGAGGCGCGGGGCAGCCCAGGGGAAGAGAAGAGTTCTCTTATGGATGTGTGGGCACGAACGCCGAACAGCTGGGCTGTTGTGAAGGTGGGGAGCCCCCAACATGTGGGTCACCACGCGGAAGAGAGGACCATCTGCTATGGATTAGACTATGTCCCCTCGCCCCAGAATTCATATCCTGAGGTCTTAATGACCCACTCCCTCAACATGGGATTGTATTTGGAGAAAAGAATTTCAAGGACTTAAGGTTAAAATGAGGTCATACTGATGGGCCCTAATCCAACACGACCCAAGTTCTTATAAGAGGAGATGAGGACACAGACTCTGCACACAGAGCAGACCAAGCGAAGACACAGCAGACGTTCATGTGTGGATGGCCGTCGTCAAGCTCAGGAGAGAAACTTCCAGAGAAACAATTCTGGCAGAACTTTGGTCTCGGACTTCAGGCTCCAGAACTCTGAGAGAACACATTTCTTCTATCGACGTCACCCGTTTTGTGGTACTCTGGTTTGACAGCCCTGACAAACGAATGCACCACCGTAGGGTAAAATATAATGGGGGAAAAGGAAGGGGCCAGCACTAAGCTCTGAGTATATACAGCACTGCACGGTCAAACAGATTGGCAACAGCAGGCAAAGGAGCCCGAGCGAGTGGGCCCAGAGAGCCCAGAGAAGGGGCAGGTGAGGGTGGTGCAGTGTCCTGGAACGTGGGAGCAAAGATCTGCATGGAGGAATGGCTGAAAGCGGGTACAAAAGACCTCCCTGGAAGCAAAATCCTTGCTTTTAGAAGAACCTGATGGATCCAGGCCCACCCCTTGGCCCCCAGCCTCTCCTGAAATCCCACATGGAGGGCAGCTTCGGTGGGCTCTAGGGAGTGTGCTGGCCCCTGGAACGGCCCCTCCAACCACTGGAGTGAGCCCCGCCCACGGTCCCAGCATCTGACCGGGGAGGGGCTCCATCAGGCAAGGTTGTGCCCTCACAAACTCAGGACGTGGGCTGCCCTCACGGAGCCACTATTTAGGGTTCTCAGTGTGTGGTCCGCAGACCTCCTAGAGCGGAAACGGAGGTGTTCTAATTAAATGCTCCTTCTTGGGTCCTACGTTGATCAACTAAATCAGAAGGTCTGGGGCAGGGCCCATGCATCTGCATCTCTGAGGGCTCGCGGGTGGTTTTGGGCACACGGAGCTGCTGCACCAGCATGTCCTGCTCTTCCAGTCTCTTCCCGAGCTCCACGCAGTATTTGCTGCAAGGGCCACTTTCTCCCAGGGGAGGGAGGCGAAATTCCTTCTCTCTGCTGAAAGATCTGCCTGCTCTATCTCCCACAGACAGACGTGTTCCACTGTGGGGCTCATATCCCCCTTTTTTTTTTTAAACTTTTTTTTTTTTTTTTTTTTTTTTTAGATTTTATTTATTTATTTGACAGAGAGATCACAAGCAGGCAGAGAGGCAGGCAGAGAGAGAGGAGGAAGCAGGCTCCCCTAGAGAGCAGAGAGCCCGATGCGGGGCTCGATCCCAGGACTCTGAGATCATGACCTGAGCCGAAGGCAGCGGCCCAACCCACTGAGCCACCCAGGCGCCCCGGGGCTCATATCCCCTTATGCCACCTTGCTAGAGGGACTGACTGACCCAGTCCAGGCTAGGGCCTGGGAGAAAGAGTTCCTTCTCATGGAAAAACCTAACCATGCCGAATCTCCACCAACACACCGAGACCTGCAACACAGGCTCTGCAACGAAGACCAGAACTTGCTCTGCACAACTCAGCAAGGAGGTGAGGGGCTTGGCCTGGGTCTCGGCCACTTCCATCCCTGGTGCTGTTCTTCCAGAGTCCCGCCTGGGGCTGGCGGGGCAGGCGGCGGGCCAGCAGATGGAGCCCACAGTGCATAAAACCCTTGACCCAACAGAACGGAGAGGGCTGTGGAGTCTCCTGACTCTCCTTCAGAGCAGAGGCCTGGAAGGCTGTGGGGTTGCGGGGCCAACAAGCAGCTGGGGCTCACCATTTCCACCTTCATTTTCCTGTTCTTTGGGAGAAATGTCACAGAGATATGTTCTGGGAGAAAATACAGGTCCCATCGGAGCCCTGCCAGGATGCCAAGGGGACCGGGAATCAGGGGCCCTCAACTTCCTGAGCGTGGGGGAGTAGCCACCTGGAGCAATACACAGGTGCCGGGCCCTCCTCCAGGGGCGCTAGGCTTGGCGGGCCGTATGGCATTTGCGTGTGATGCCTGGCACATGCTGGGAAGCCACGAATGCATCCAGTGTGGAAGTAGGGAGAGGATCCAGAAGGTGGAGCTGGAAACCCCACAAGCTGTAGCTCCGTACCTGGGGTCCTGGCTCACAATGCAAGGGCTTGGGCTGCATCTCAGACTGGGGAACTGGTCCCTGGAGACAGGCCAAGGGCGTCTGTGCTCTACCCAGCCCCCTGTGTCTGATGCAGAGCAGCTCTCAGAAGTGGTGCTGGGGGGCTCATGGAAAGGCAGGGTGGAAGCAGGGGGTAGGACATGGGGTGCTGAGATGTCTGTGACTGAGGTCTGGCAGGCCTGTGGGGTGCTTCCTGGATGAGTCTATTCCTGTCCTCAAAGGCCCCTGGAGTGGAGCAGCTGATGTGTGAGGGTGAGGAGTATGACTCTCCCAGTCTGAGAGAGAGAGAGAGAGAGAGAGAGAGAGACAGGAGAGAGGAATAGGAGAAACAATGGGAGAGAAAGAGACCTAGAGAGAGAACAACAGAGTCCGGGGGATGAACACAGACAAACACGGGACCAGAAGTGAATGGCTGTAGACATGGACAAAAGATGGCTGGGCTGGCGTTCTCCTCTCTCTTCTGTTGGCAGCCATCAGCACTGGGCTCTGACGTGCCTACTTCTAAGAGGCCGGGCAGAGGCCGCTCACCTTGATCCATCTGGCACCCTGTGATGTACAGCTGGGGCTTATTCAGGGCTAGGGTAGGATCTCGAGTCAGGTGCTGTCGAGCTCAGAAGCCTTCCTGAAGGTATCTCAGGGCCCGTCACGAGGTGACGCAGAGAGCGTGCACCCAGGCACCTAGGACGCCTGGCCTGCTTCCAGGAGGGTGCAGGCCACTTCACCTGCTTTATCAACCGGACTTCTGCCTCTCAACATCTTTGCTCATCCCTGTCCCTAGACACACAGACACACACACACACAAACACGTTTGAAAATCACCTCCTTCACTTCGAAGCTCCTGAAGGGCAGGGATTTTGCTCAAAGTCTGCTGCCAAAACAAGTGAAAATAACCAGGATAGATTTTAAAGGCACTGGGATACGGATTGCCACTTAATAGTTTCTGAATTCTCCAAACTGCCTTGCACAGAGAACACGCACATCATAATATTTCGCAAATAAGTGAACCAACGATGGGCCGATGGACAGAATGAATGAATGAATAAGACCTAAGGACTGCAGGGCCTACTCTCAACACAGGGCTGTGCTCTGTGCATTGTGGGTGTGGAGCTCGGGGGGACCCTGAAGGAAATAAAGTCTGTTATCCAGAGAACACAAACCAGTGGCTTTTGAGCTAAAACACACCCAAAGATGAAGGTGATTTGGCCTTCACAGTATTTTTAAGTTACTGGACTAGCTGCTGGGGGTTAAAAGTTAAAAATGCAAGCAACTCTTTTCTTGAAGTATGGGGACCTCTGGCCACCCAAGGTCAGAATCCCCACCTGCTGGACGTGGGAGTCTGCCCCAACTGGAGGCAAGTGGGGTGTGTGCATGCCAGCCTGACCCAGTCTGCCACCAGGAAGGCCTCCAGCATTGGTACTGCCTGCCTGGCCCCTAGAAGCATCTCACTTTGCATCCCCATCTAAACTAGTGTTTTGCAAAATGCAAAGTGCAGCCCCTCAGCCTGAGGTGACATCAGCTTGGTGGGTTGTGACCGTCACGAGAAGAAACACAATGTAAGAGAGACAGTCTCAGAGGCTACAACGCAGAGAAAGAGTACGCACGGTTTTGTGAAACTTCTGCATCACTGAGACACCTGTCACAAAGTTGCCTAGTGACTGGTCTCCCTTACATAGGGTTATGTGGCTGACCTTAGTCACAACATAACTTCTGAGAACCCGTACCTGAGCAGACATTTCGGTACTGGGATTCCCTGTGCGAACTCCCAGGGAGCTGGCATTCTAGACGGTGAATCATTTTCCCCAACTGGCTACTTCGGAGAGCTGTGGGATCTCTACACTGGGCGTTCGTAGGCCCGAGCCCTGGTGTCCCAGGTGTTCTCCCTCGCCCCTCCCCCTGCCTGGGCTATAGGACAGACTGGCAGGGAGGGCAGGGTCCCATGCCCGCTCCTGGCCCCATCCCAGCTGTACCTCTCCGTCAGGGCCTTGCTCTGCGTGTCCCGAGCTGCCTGCAGATCCTTCTCCAGCCGCTTCCGGGCCATCTCCAGCTGCTCTACCTCCCCCTGGGTCCACTTTCGGGGGCTGACGAAGCGCATCTCCTTCAGCAGCTCCTCCTTCTCGTTGATGAGGATCAGCCGGTCCCTTTCCGAGTCCAGCACTCCCGGCCAGGCCTCGCTGTCAAGCTTGGCCAGTTGGATCTTCAGGTTGGCGATCCTGTGGGCGGAGAAGCGAGCGTGACGGGTGTGCCCAGGGGCACTGCGGGAGCAGGGTCACAGGCTGTGTTTCCAAGGTTATGTACAAGGAGCCGTGACAGCCTCAGAGCCATCTCTGGTGGTGACTGTCTTCACTGGACCAGCATGTCGTCTCAAGGAACCTATTTTTATCTAGCAAACACATGTGGTGCCTCCCCTGTGCCAGAAATGAGTAGGCTCTGCAGGGATGGGGAGGAGATGTCAATAAGGCAATGTCCTTGCCCTGAGGGACACGAGCCTGGTAGAACAGAGAGCTGGATTCATCACCAGGCGATAGGCTCCCACCACCAGCTATGTGACCTTGGGCAAGTCGCTTCGTGTCTCTGAAAGGAATAACGCAAACTCCTTTGTCATAGGGCTGTGGTGGGAGGCTTTAGACATATTCTAGGAACTCGCAAAGCACGGTGTGTGGCACGGAGTAAGCACTCAAATGAATGCTTCTGCTGCTACCGTTTTATTACCTGGTTTGACAACTTACTAGGTGTATAACGTCGGGTGAACTCCCTGAGCCTTGCTCTGAAAATGAGCCACTAACGTATCCAGAGGAGCCAGCACAGGACAGGTACTCAGCCACCGGCCGTGGGGAGCCCACTGCAACGACAGCGCACACTGCGGTTGCTCACTGGGTGTTCCCAGTCCAGAGACTGGGGTCAGAGGCCTTGAGCCGGAGAGTCTTAGATGATTGGTAATGTGAGTTTCCAGCACACGGCCAGGTATACCGCAGGCACTTATGAACGTTAAAAGGAAGGAGTTGGGAGCTCTATCCCTTAACCTCTTTGAGATGTAGTCTCCTCACCTGTTAGGTGGGGTCAGTAATGGAATCCGCAAGGTGGGTTATGAGAACCGAATGAAAACTCACTACCCAGAGCTCTTTATACGTTGCCAAGTGCCGGACAGAAATAAAGTTCTCTTTGGACCAAAATGAGATTCACAATGTAACTAAGATGAGTGCTACAAAGATCTCAAAGGGATCGTGACCTAGTCCTTTTGGATTCAGCCTTCGCAAAGGCTTTCGGCATCACACTGTTGCCCCACCCAACCCCTACAGTATGGATAAGACCTGGCGGTGAGGCTGCGGGACAGAGGGCCACAGGGGCCATGGCTCACCAAAGCCTGCACGGCATAAACACGGCTGGCACTTGATGTGTGCCCAGGCCTCTGGACTCCCAGTTCGATCTTACCTGCAGATGTGTGGCCCAACCTTTCATTTATAGAAACGTTGCTGGGGACAAAATCTACACACCAGGTCGTGAAAATTCCAGACAGACAAACACATCTGAGTTTGCTCATTCCCAGCCAAGTGCATCAGAGGAATTCTTGGAATTGATTAATTTATATGCCACATTCACAAAGAGAGTAATCTGGGACAACTTTGTAGCTTTCGCCACTCTACAGGATGGAGTGGTCTGGACAGGTCTGGCAGGGGCTCCACCGGTGGTGGTATACCAAAGGGGTGATGGATGCTTAATGCTTACATGTATTTTCTAGTGGAGCTTTCCCCTGTGCTCCTTAACCTTTGGGCCACCCACCTTTTGGTGGAGCTGATGAAAAGCACTAGACTCGCTCTGCAGAAATGCACACATGACAAAACTTAGTGTGCAGACTTTTCATTACAGACACCTGCCCTCGCTTCTTCAAGCCCTGCAGCCTCTGCTTTCCATCCCGTGGGCCGCTCTGTCCTTGACACTTAAACTACCTCTGGGTGAAAAGGGGGTTTGAAGCTGGGTAATGGCACATGAGCCAGGAAGCTCTGCGATGAGAAGTTTAATGGCTCAACCCCAGAGGGAAGACTGCAGTCCTTGGGTCTCTCCAGAACTGATCCTCTAAGATAGGCATTACTGTAGGCTGGAATGGATCCAGGGTTCAGAGTGGTCCCCTTCAGAGGGGACAAGGGGCCATCCAAATGCAGAAGTCCTGCTGTTTTGCTGGGCCTCTAGGGGGAGCTGAAATAATGCACAGTGTGTTTTCTCTACCTGACTAGGATCCAATTTCTCCTCCTCTGTTAACAATACTCCACATTTTCTTTGGGAAGTCACTCCTCCCATACTTAAGCCATTTGGTTCCAACAAAGCTGATCTCAATCCCCTTCCTAGAGTTAGGCACATGACCCATGCCAGGACCTTCAGAGAATTCTAATTCCTCCAACTCTGCAACAATGACTGGTTCACCAGGAAAAGCCAGGGAGCCTCAAACTCAAAACCCATCAAATCTGTTGGGAAAGGCAGGTCCTCCTTCTGCTGGGGTTGCTACCCTGATAGTATATAACTCTAGAATTGCTGGGGGTCACCTTTACATTTTGTTAGGAAAGTCTGTCAACACAAAGGCAAGCAGGGTGGAGAGGGGAGAAACTGAGTCTACGTAACATGATTTGAATCCCTAGATCCAGCTGTGCCTGAAGCTGGTTTATCCTATGACTTTGGAACTCAATAAGCCAACAAATTCCCTTTTCTGCTTCTTCTAGTTTCTGTAGGATTTCCGTCACTGCTGCGAAGGGTTCTGCTGCTCACACAGAGTTGGCAGAGGGGCAGAGATGGGTGCTCCCGTACTCTGTGTGGCCTGGTGTCAAATGTCCGTGGGCCAGGTAGCATGTGGATGTGATATGCCTGGCTTCAATCATCCCCACACTCTGTGGGTTCCTTCCCAGGAAGGTTGGCTCCATGCTTAAGAAGACTGCAGACTGGGAGCCAGATTCTTCAGAGTTCAGAATCTGACTCCATCATCTTGGGAAGTCCTAAAACATCTTAGACCTTACCTTTCTCTTCTCTACCATGGAGATAATACAAACCACGCTATAAGGTTGTTCTTAAAATTCAGTGAGATGATACACATAAAGATGCTTTACTACAATACCTGGTGCATAACGGATGCTCCAAAAATAACACCTTTGCTTATGGTCTTAATTTTATTTATGGCGGTAGATCCCAACTGGGGTCTACACAGTTTGTGAGCACAGCTGGCTCCCCGTTGGGCAGGAGACACTGTAGTGCTCAGGATCCAGGGTTTGTTTCACCTTATCCCTAAAACCTCCACTGTGCTCCTTCAAACCAGGCTACTCATAGGATCACTAGAAAACCCTGATTATAGAAACCGAGCCGAGTAAGTGGAAAGAGAACAAGGCTCTGAGGTTTCACAGATCTGGGTTCAAAGCACAGTGCCATTTTTTACCTAGTTAAGTGTCTCTGGCTCAGTCATTTCTTCTCTGAGCTTCAGAGAGGGTTAAAATATAAAGATAGTAATCCTTATCATCACAATCGTGGAGGATTAAAGAGGAGGAGGTGTGTGAGAAGTCAGGCAAGGAGCAGACACTGTGCAATGGTGGTTGTCATCACTGGAGCCATCCCGTCCCCAGCCCCTAATTACCTTCTCTTAGCCTCTTCATATCGAAGGCGCAATCTGACCTTCTCTGCCAACTGATTGTTGCTGCTCGTGCCAAACTGGGGGAAAGAACAAAGTCGGGAATTATAGGGCCATTGTGGCCAGTGCGGAGTTGGATTTCAAGAGCTCATGAGAGACTTGACAGCTTGCGTGGGAAGTAACTAAGAATAGCCCCCAATTACTGAGTTGGCTGTGTGATAGCAGGGAAGCTAGTCAGGCAGACACTTTCCTTCCTGCAGGCTGTGGGAAGACCCCCAAAATTCAGACATCCATCACTTCCAGTAGAGAAGCTGAGAGCCCAGAATATCGTCTTGCAGCCCTGAATGGCTTGGAGCTCATTCAAGCCCCAGCAGCATGGAGGACAGCTGGTCAGAAGGAAACAGGGGCAACCAATATACAAGAAAGATATCCTGGGAGAGATGGGGAGGGCCCTAGCTGAAAACTCAGGGAGGCTGCAGGCAGGACTGAAACACTGAGTGACTGAGAAGAAGGTCCTGGAACTGGCAGGGAGGCCTACAGTGGCTTGGAGCTGAACACCTGGGCAGCATGGTGAGGGAGGTCAGAACCCACTGGCCGCGTCATTCTGTCAAGAATGGCAGGAAGTGGGCGCCTGGGTGGCTCAGTGGGTTAAGCCGCTGCCTTCGGCTCAGGTCATGATCTCAGGGTCCTGGGATCGAGTCCCGCATCGGGCTCTCTGCTCAGCAGGGAGCCTGCTTCCCTCTCTCTCTCTCTCTCTCTGCCTGCCTCTCTGTTTACTTGTGATCTCTCTCTGTCAAATAAATAAATAAAATCTTTAAAAAAAAAAAAAAGAATGGCAGGAAGCTCCAGGGCTCACCCAAGCAGACATGGACAGAGCTTCTCCTCATAAGTGGGGGACACAGTGGAAGTAACCAGAGAAGAACAGCATTTAGCCACGAGGCTGGGAGGTGGGTCTGCGCAATGTCACCTGCTCTAGGAAAACAACAGTTCTCCAAACGAGCCTGATGGCCGTGGGTCAGTCCTGCTCTAAAACTTCCATGGAGTAAATCCGGAAGGCACTTACACTACTTACTACTGTGACCAGCCTGAGCTTTCGAAGAGAGCTGTCTGAAAGCCGCATGTAATGTTTCGGGACAAACAGAGGGAAGATATCACCTGCTTTATAGCTGGTGAAAGAAAAACAGAATGGTGATACAAATCTGTAAAAAGGGAGCCCGAGAGAGACCCTGGTCCTTCAGACCTGCCTTCTGTGCAACATCTAGAGATGCAAGCACATGGCCAGGCAACAACTAGGACCACAGAGTCGGCGCTGGTTTTTCCTTACACTGTCACCTCATGTCATCCTGGGGCCAAGAGGTCTGCAAGAGAACAGAGCTCCAGGAGGCTGAGTTAACAGCCAGGCCCACAGAGAGACACCAGTCCACACCTCAGGTGAGAAACAAGAAGGTGGCGGCCCTCTACAGCCGCCTCCTGGACGCACGGCCTACTCACACTTCCTGAGATGTCCGTCTGGGAGCTCACATCCAGGTACTGTTTCGGCAGCGGGAAACCCGAACTTTCCAGAGAGCTGCTGCTGGACCACAGGTCAGAGTGGGACCCTCTCTCCGTGCGGAAGCCATCCTTCAGCATGGCGAGGCTCTAAAGAGGGGAGGGCAGGGTTAGCAACACAACTGCCCGGGAGGGAGCTCTGGTCTCTCCCCCTCCAGGTGCTCTCCTCTCTGCCTTGCGTCATTCAGTAGGAAGCCACGCTCATTCCGGGAAGGTAAGTAAAGAGCTAGCAGCAAGGGGGTAGTTGCTCGGTGCCGGGGCTTTTCCCTGAGAGAGACCGGTATGGACCCCGGAGCTGGAGCCACACGGCCTGACTTGGAATCCCTGCACTGCTACCTCCCAGCTGGGTGACCTGAGCTAGTTGATGAAGCACTCTGTGCCTCAGTTTCCTCTCCTGAAAAACAGGAAGAAACACAGGTCCGATGTCATGGGACTATCATACTGATTTAAAGAGGTGACCAGGCTAAGGTACTAGTACAGCTGATTCTCACTACCTGTCAGCTTTACCACCAGCTTACTGAATCCTGACATCGGTCCTGTGAGAAATGACTGAAGATTAGCCCCATTTTATTGATAAGGGAGTTTTTCCACGGAAAGGCTGGCAAATGACAGAGCACGATTTGGCCTGGTCTGTCTGACGGAAGACTCAGCACTCTTAATTGCTAATTACAATAGGAACACGGCTCCCTGTCAACCAGGGCCTGGATGTTTTCATTGGGCTGCTGCCCTGGGCAAGAGCTTCAAGATCATTCTCTGTCAGAGACGGTAAAGCTCCCTTCACAAAAAGGATAAAGCTTCACGTAAAGCTTCCTTCACGATAAAGGAGCCTGACTCCTAATCTGCCAATGGGAACACAAACACACCCAGTATCTCAGAGGTCAGGGTGGCTCCTGTGAGGGGAGGTGGAGTGTCCAGGGATTAAAAGAACAGGTTTCTGAGTCCACGTTCACGGGTTCAAATCCTGGCTCTACCCCAGACTCTGAGCTGTACCATTCGTTGTTAGCTGTGAAAAGGGGTGAACTAGGGCTAGTGTAAGAGACGAGTGAGGCACAATGTGTGCAAAGTGCCCGGCATGTGAAATCACATTGACCCTCATTTGTTCAGTCCTCAGCACAGACAACAGGCGATAAAATACTTAGGAAGATGTTACATTTTGATGTTGGGGCTATCGACGTCAAAACCACCTCCCTATCTGGTCCTTTGAGAAGGAAGCCAGGTGGGCAGAGTGAGCGGCGAGGACATGACCTTTGGACTGGAGCAGCTGGCTCCTGTTGCAACTCTGCCAGCACTGTGACCTTACACGAGTCACCTAATGCTTCTGAACCTCCTTTTCCTACTCTAGGCGACTGGAAGCGCAAGAAAACGAGCAGTGAGAACTCAGTGACTGCGCAGCATGCAGAAACACCGTGAGTCCTAGCACAGAGAGGTGCTCGGGAGAAACCCACCTGAGACACCCCCACCCCCACCCCACCCCGCCGCCGATCCCTGGAACTCTCGTACCTTAATGAGATCTTGCTTTTCTTTTTCTCCACAAGTGATGGCCTTTTTGATGGCTTTTGTTTCTCTCAAGACAGCCTGAGCTTCATCCAATTTGTAGCTGCCCTGAGCATCAGACATTTTCTTATCGATTCTAGGAAACAGTCAATGGGGAAGGTCAAGCAGAGATAGGGTAAGGGATGGAGTCTGAGTCTCCCCAGGGGAAAAGCAGATGATGGACTTCAGTCCTGTAAGAAGGCTCCTCTCTGTCCCGCACACCCGCCCTGCCCAGGTCCTGCCTGTGGAATGAGGCACAGCAGGTGCCTGTGAAATGTCTCATGGTGCAGGGCTGCAGAAGCAACACCACCCTTGAAATCAAGCACCAGCTCTTACAGGAAGCTTTCCCTGATTACCTCCCTGTCTCCTCCAGGCTGGGCTAGGAAATCCCCTAACACCGTGTGTAGCTATGACACGGCAACCATTACGTTGTGTTCTACTTAGTGCTACACATGGTGGTATCCTTGACTGATCACTGGCAGGCTTGGGACGGGGTGAGACTGAATAAACTTAGTATCTGGCACAGAACATGCCTTTAACTTGGGGTCTCTCAACCTCACATCTTGACATTTGAGGAGGAGGATTCTCTGGGGTAGGGGCTGTCCTGTGCACTGTCCGATGTTTGGAAGCATCCCTGGTCCTGCCCATGAGATGCCAGGAGCATCCTGCCCGCAAGCTGTGATGACCAAAAACACCTCCATACTTTGCCCAGTGCCCCTTGGGGTAGAGGAGCAAGATCATCCTCAGCTGAGACCCACTGGCTTTAATAAGCATGTGTGAGTCAACAGGCACAATAAAGGAAAGCTGGGAACGATGAAAAACTCCCAGCCCTGCGACTCCATAGTGTGGCCTTGGGCATGGCCCTCAGTGCACGGAGGCTTGGCTTGCTCCTCTGAGAAAACCTGGAAAAGGTCACCTGCCCAGCTCATGTTCACGAAAATGTTAGGAATATCAAACAGGATAAAGGATGGATAGTCAGGTGGTGGACTAGGGTGTATGGACCAAACCAGCTTATTGAGGCACTCCATCTGGGTTCATTTTGGTGGTGGAAGAGTAAAAAAAAAAAAAAAAAAAAAAAGATTAAGGGTTTTGATGTTGCTTTCTGAAGATCAGACCAAACCAGAGATGGTGGAGGTCTGGGCCCCCTGGGGAAGGAGGCTATGGTGTGGAAGAGCTTCGGAGGAAAGAGATGAAGTTTTACTGCTTCATACTTTCCCCAAAGGCTAGGCCTGAGGTCTCAGTCCCCAGTGGAGAAAAGGAAGTCTTACAGTCTGAGGGAACACCACAAACCCATTATTTCAGGATGAGAAACTGCTCACAGGCATTCCTCTCTGGTTTCCTGCTACAGGCCAAACTGTCCTGGGCTAAAAATAACCTGAGTGGGGAATCACTGACGGTGGCAGGAGCAGGTTTTCCTCTGGGTCTGTGTGTGCCTCCAAGCAGGAGAGAGGGAGAGAACCCGGGTCTCGGCATGGCCCTCCCCGTGCCCGTCCGTTATGTCAGCTTCCGTGGAGAGAAAACAAAGCCCCATTTATGTGTCCCCACTAAAAATAGCCTGTCTATTCCTTTCGAGGACTTGGGCCTGAGCAAGCCTGCCAGGTTGGCTAAGACCGGTCTCAGATTTAGCTTGAAAAATTAGTCTAAAGGGAGCTTTCTGTAGCAGAGGCCTGCCTGAGATGCTCTGTGGAGAGAAGGGTCCCCCAGGACCGGAGGTGGCCATGCCCCAAGTGGGGGGGGGTGCAGGAGAGATGCCATTTGCTTGAGCAGGGCTGGGGGCTCTAGGGAGGGGGCTGTGCCCTGCCGTCCTCTGCCAGCAGGGTGAGGAAGGCTCTGAATCCTCAGCAGGATGAGACAGAAGCGGTTTGTCTGCTGTGCCCTGGGCTCCTCAAACAGCCTTTACCTGATTTCTCTCAGGGGCCTTAGCAACCCAGGCTCTGGAATTTGGCTCCAGAGAGGAGCTCCAAAAGGGAACACTCTTGGGATTGAGGGGGAGGGGGAGGGGAACAAAGGGTCGCCATTATGTGCTCAGTGAATGAATCAATCTCTCTCTCTCTTTTTTTATTTAAGGGAAAGAAAAGTTGTGTGTTTGCAGGGGAGGGGAGGGTGTAGTGGGCTGCGTGTGTTCTAGAATTTCCAAATCACGCAGCTGTCCAGAGAGTCACACACCCGCTAGCCACAGCACAGCCACAGAGAAGCAGGGCAAAGCCTCTGACAGCAGCCAACTCCTTTCGATCTTGTCCAGACAACTCTCACCTAGGCAGGGAGGCTCTGGGGACATGGGAAAGACGCCTCATGGTGTCCTCCCCAACGGAGGACATACCAAGTCTCAATGCTTTCCTATTTACAAGGGCTCGAGGCAGCTGATGGACCCAAGTCCCGAGCTTTCATCTTGATTTTCCTTTTTAGTCTCCACAGAGGTATCCTTCAATTCTCACCAGCCTTTCCCTTTTTTAAAACTGGGGTTGCTGACCATGAACATGGTCATGACAGCTGGATGAGTTTCACCTTCTCCCGTGCTCTGTGAAGGGAAGAGGCTGAGAGGTAGAAGTGACGAGATCACCTCCCACCACTGGCCTCTGAAAAAGATCCCAAAGCACATGGAAAAAGGCCTCATGTTTTCTGGGTGTGAGGAGGGGGTTATTAAGGATGAAGCCAGAAAGGAAGGTATTAGTACCTGAGTGGCAAAACACAACAGTCCTGGGTTCTAATCCTGCCTGGCTGCTTCCTGGTGGGGTGGGAGTGGGGTGGTGGGCTATGGTCTATGTTCAACCTCATCAGTGCCCTTATCTATAAAACAAGGCAGAACAAAAACTTCTCTTAAAGAGGAAGAGACGGTGAATTGAGGTGACTGATGCATAGTGTTTGCCCAGCATAGCCTTTCGCCTGGGGCAAACAGAGTTCCTCTGAGTTCCTCCCCAAATCTAAGCCAGCAAGTAGTTGGAGGTCACCCCCCCACATCCCTTGCTGACCCTTACACTCACTACCAGGCAATGTCACACACTTCTGTTTCATCTTCATAATCACTTACTTCTCAGATAAAGAAACCAAAGCTCAAGGGGGTTAAGTCATTTTTGCAAGGTCCCAGGGAACTGGGATTTGAACCCAGGCCGTTTGCCTCTTGACGCTACATTCTTAACCCTCTATGCCAAGGTGTGCAAGAAAGCAGATGCCTTCTCTCACGCCGAACATGGAGTCAGCTTTGGGTAAGGAGTGTGGGCGGTCAGGGCTGCCGTGCGTCTTATCTGGGTCTGATATCAAACATCAGTTGGGCGGAGGGAGGAGGAAAAAAAGGAGGCTTGTCTTTGGGGTTTCAGCGTCAGCTTACCAAAGAACAAGAATTTTCAATGCTGCTACAGGGTGACAAAGTGGTAAAACAGGTTTGTGGTGGCTCAGAGAATAATGGGAAATGTTCTAACCAGAAGCTTCTGAGGATTGCAGGAAGGTGGGGGAGGGCCCCTGCGGTAAGATGACATGGGAGTGAGTAACCTTTAAACTATGTGTTCAGAATCTGGAGGGCTCATGAGGTTATTTGCTTTATAGATCACAAACAGGACTTTCCTAAGCTCATCTTCCTGCTCTTGTTGACTGTCAGTGGCATATGGATATAGATGTATATTAATAACGTATGTATCTATATAAGCACACATATATAAAACTGTATTTAATAATAATTTATAGTACAAAAATATATTATACACAATCTATACTTTCTTAGACCTTGTGTGTGGGGAAGTTCATGGTAGCTCCCCCGCCAGGCAGTGAGGGCTTGGGGGATAGGAAGATGGGAATAAGAACCAACCAAACCCTGAGAGTGGTCACAGTTCCCTCGATTCACAGAGCCTGGAGGCAGGCATCGCAAGGTTTGGAGCTGCGGTCACACAGTGGTGGGGGTGGATCTGAGATTCAGAGGATGAGGAAAAGGTACAGGCAGAGAGGAAAAGGTACAGGTGACTAGAGAAGCAGTTGTGTGTAGGGATGTGGCCTCCCTGGGAATCTAAGTGAGATGTCCCTTACAATAGAGAAACGGACTGCATGCCCTCCCTGGGGCTTCCAAGAGGCCCCCAGACACCCTGCGATGACTGTACACCGAGTCTATCAGACGCACTGAACATGACTCAACGCACAAGTATTCGCTGCCTATGTGACTATTCACAGCAAGAAGCTAATGCTTACTGAGCACCTACTATGGGACTCGGTTTCCTACAAGAACATTCCTTACAGAGTAGCAATGAGGATGAAATGAGGTCACCCAGGCAGAAACACTGAAAGTGCTTCCTGGCAGAGAAACTGCTCAGCAAATCTTAGCTAGTGTAATAATGATAATAGCAATCAATGCACCTGCTCTAAGGAAACAACAGAGCTCTTTGCTGGTGGCAAGTCAGCTTCTCAACATTCCATTTGGTCAAAGTTACCCCGGAAACTCCGTAAGTCGCCCGCAGAGTACAGTGAGTGTGGCGCTGTACATGCTCGTCTGGTGATCTGTGTTGTGGAAGAGAGACTTGTTCCATCAGCGGGGCACATGAGCTGTTCGTCTTTAGGGGCCAGGGGAAAGAAGAGTGTGTTTTGTTTGTGTGTGTACCAGATCCTACTGGATCTTCTGGAAGAGATGAGACAGGTGACCAGAAATGCCCAGCAAATTTGTTTCTGTGACTGCCTGGTAAAACTCAAGGGAACGGAACAGACTTTAGTGGCTTCAGGAATTCAGAGGACAATGAGAACTCTGGTTTGAAAGGATTTCCCTTGGGGCGCCTGGGTGGCTCAGTCAGTTAAGCATCTGCCTTCGGCTTAGGTCATGATCCCAGGGTCCTGTGCTGCTTGGCGGGAGTCTGCTTCTCCCTCTGCCCCTCCCCCTATTCATGCTTGCATGCTCTCTCTCTCTCTCTCTGAAATAAAATCTTCCAAAGAAAAAAAAAAAGAAATGATTCCCCTTTTCTCTTCCCACACCTCAACCCTGGGAGACAGTATCTTCGGTAAATACCAGTGGACAACTGGAATCGAATGATTAGAGTGGCCTTACAGAGAGACAGACAGGGCAGCCAGGGGAGGATGGGACCTTCCCACACTCTGCAGACACAATGGACTTACTTCTTCAGGGTCTGAAAGCCACGCTCTTTGAACTGCAGCTCTTGCTGGAGGTGAACCATCTCTCTCTTGAGCTTGTTGACCTGGATGGCAGCAGACCACAGATGGGGCTAGATCAGAGGTTGATATGGAACTGCGGGCTGCCTTCTCCTCCAAGGGGATCCCAGAGCCCCCCCACAGCCCCTGCATAATGCCTCAGGTTGATATCCCTTGGGCCACATGGTCCTAAAACCTTCCCTTCACTGATGTTGCCTTGGCCTCTGCAGCTGCTCGTGCAGTCGGCAGCCCAGCCTGGCTGTCCTGCAGGTCATTCCGGGTCAGCCCTCACTTGAGGGAAACAGGAAGTGGACAGTGCTCCCTGACCTGAAATAGAGCTTAGCCTTCTTATTGCCTAGCTGGGTGACCTCTCTCAAGCCACCTCGCCTCTCTGAGCCTCCCTTTCCCATTCAGACAGATGAGAAACATGGTCATTCATAGGGCTGTGCATTACTTAGAGAAGGTAACGGGTACAGGGGTGCTGGGCATGGAGGCGAGAGGCAAGACACAGCCCATGGAGCCAGACTGGACTGGCAGGAATGCTTTGTTTGGCTTGCAGTTATTTATTTATTTATTTATTTAGAGGGGGAACACAAGCAGGGGGAGTGGGAGAGGGAGAAGCAGGCTTCCCACTGGGCAGGGAGACTGATGTGGGGCTAGATCCCAGGACTCTGGGACCATGACCTGAGCTGAAGGCAGATGCTTAACAACTAAGCTACCCAGGTGCCCCTGGCTTGAAGTTATTAAATAAAAAAAGTCAACTGCTAATAATGAAATATTGAGAGATTTCCTATAACAAGCCTAAGTATAGTTGTTTTCTAAAATTAGAAGGTCTGCTGTCTCTGAGCCCTCATTCCAGCATGGCCCCAGTGGGGGAGGGCTGCAACTCAACTACACCTTTAGACAGGGCCCAGCTCTCTCGGTCACTCACTTCCCACCAGTCCCTCCTGCTTCACCCCAAGCCCACTGCCCCCTTTCACGTTTTCTTGCAGGCATGTGAATTTGGAGAACCTACTTGAAGTGTAACTGAACCACTGTTTAAAATACTGGCTTTCCCTTGAGCAAGTCCCTTAACTGCTGTGCTTTCGTTCCACATCAGGACAATGGGGATCCTATCAATCCCCAAGAAGTCAGGAAGTCATTATGGTGAAGCAGTTAAATAAGACGATGGACAGCATGCAACGACTAGGAAGACAGCACATGATGTGAAGCCCTGTGGAGGCAGCCTGAGTCCTTGTGACCCCGGGTGAACTCCTCATCTCCCCTCAGCTTGTGTGTGCTCATCACTAAAGTGCAGACGCGGACAATAGCTGCTTCACGGGCTTGCTTCGAGAACACGAGACATAAAGCCCTGAACCCTGTGCCGGCATGCAGTGAAATGGCAGCTGTGGTTACCGTCACAATTACTGTGACAACTGCCGCCCCTGCTATCATTCGGGATCCTGGCAGTCGGCACGGGCCACCACTGCCTGGTGGAAGCACCTGCTCCGATCTTGTGGGCGGGCAGGGCGAGGAGCCTGGGGTTGCCTCCGTGACCCCCCCTCCACAATACGGGCAAAGGGGCCCTACCCGGGATTTCGCGGTGGCAATCTCAGCCTTCAGGATCTCAGGGTCGTACTTGGAGCTGGATGATGAACCCGACACCACTGCAACAAGAAAGAGAAGAAAGCTCTGTAGAAGAAACACATTTTGGTAAAGATGGCTTGTTTGGCCATCTACATAAAACCAGAAAATAATGACTACAAGTGAACTACCTAAATGTTTAACAAGGGGGGAAATGTGCTGAGTAAACAGGGTGCATGCATGAACGAGGACAACACAACTTAACGTGATTTAAAATCATGGCGCATGTTGGTTAAGCGTCTGCCTTCAGCTCAGGTCATGATCTCAGGGTCCTGGGATCCAGCCCTGCGTCGGGCGCACTGCGCAGCAGGAAGTCTGCTTCTCCCTCTGTCCTTCCCCCCTTCCTTCACTCTCTCTCTCAAATAAATAAGTAAAATCTTTAAACAAGTAAGATAAAATGATGGTGCAGAGAAATCCCAAGCGAGGGAAAATGTTCAAAAACGTGCAGTTACCTGAAAACAATAGTGTACAAAAAAAGCAATAGTTACTTAAATTTGGAAAATACACAGTTAATACACACACAGATGCATCTAAAAAAAAAAAGCACAGAAAGAAATATACCAAAAAGATAATATCGATATCTAGAGATGTAGATGATGAATATTTTCACTTTTGTATTTTTATTTTCTACATTTTCTAAGATGAACATACTTTTACAATCAGAAAAAATTACTAAAGATACTGTTTATCATACTTTGCAATATTAATATACATTTTTAAGGGAAAATAAATTACTCATTCCCTTTTTAAAGGAAAATAAATTACTACCATCACCCCAATACAATAATCTTTTCTCACAAGTTACTTTCCACTGCTTATCCACAATTCTTTCTTTCCTTTTTTTTTTTTTTTAAAGATTTTTAATTTTATTTATTTGAGAAAGAGAGAGAGAACATGAGCAGGGGGAGAGGGGCAGAAAGAGAGGAAGAGTGAGAAGCAGGCTCCCTGCTGAGCAGGGAGCCCAACGTGGGACTCGATCCCAGGACCCTTGGATCATGACCTGAGCCAAAGCCAGACACTTAACCGACTGAGCCACCCAGGCGCCCTGCTTATCCACAGTTCTATTACGTAGTTGTGTTCTTACTGCATTTTTAAAATTTTAAAATAGTATTTAGGTCTTGAAAAGATATCTTAAGACTTACAAAAATGAGCACAACAGAGTAAAATATATTTAAAGTAAGAGAAATGAGACAAAGGAAAAACAAGAATGAGGAAGTACACCCACGGGTGTGAGGTTAGTTGGGGCTCAGGCAAACAGGGAAGGTCCCATTTCCTCACCAGGTGCCACAGCCTGGCTCTGAGCTTCCGAACTGGTGATGTCAAGAGAGAAAGGGGCCCGATGGAAGATTCATGGTGCCCTTAATGTAAACACAACCTCACTGTTCAGGACAAGGACAGGCATTCTTGGTATGGAGGCTGGGGAAGAGTTTCTCCCGTGGGGCCTTAATCCCACCATACTTGCAATTCCATCCTTCCCCCCCCCCCCCCGCCCTTTTCCCCCACTGTCACCACAACAAGTGTATGTGCGACAAGATCACCTGCTGGGACCTAGCGTTTTCTGAGGATAGGGACTGGTGGCAATGTCCAGGGTCCAGAGGTGTAAGTGACAGTTGCGAAGGGGATACTGCTCTTTGGATCTGGTTAAAATACTGGAACGGATCTTCGGATCACACCGAAGGAAAGTTAAAATGTAACACTGAAAAGTTTGGCAGAAGGGAAATAAGAGTGTTCTGCATAATAACAGAAAAGATGTTTTGCACCAAAGGCAGTGTTGCATTCCTGCCCAGTTTACAGTGAGGAGGAGGAGGAGGTGGGGGCTGAGTTTTCCTACAAGAGATGGGTGGCAGGAACACTTGGGTTAAGTGGGGGAAACCTTGCGGTCCTCCTTGTGAGCGTGGAACAGAGATTTTAGATGAAGATTCTTGTTTCCAGCTAGAAGCTTTCATTTCCTGCATTCTAATTCCCTGGTGGCTGCTGGATTTAGGGATTTCAGGGTGGGACTTGGCTGGATACAGAGCTGGAGGCTGATTTAAGCCACATTTCCCAGACAGGCACTTTTCAGCAAAATGTTAAGGTCACTGATCAACTGTAAAAACACAGTGGAGAGAGTCACTGATGAGGAAGATGGGGCGAGCTCAAGAAGGCGGGTGTCTGTTCTGTGAGCGGCCCATGCTGCCAACCCCTCTGCCTGTCCCGAGGTGCTTCCAGACTGGGGTCGACAGACACTTCAGGGAATGGTAAAGGTGAGCATGGAAGCAGCCTGGGGAGCCCAGGAAAAATTGCAAGACCTTATCCCACCAGAGAGAGCATGGCTGTGGGGACCGGCAACGCCACCCAGTGCTGACCTGCAGAACATGGAGTGGTCCTGGGGCATACTCAAAAATCCTGGAGGGGCGGGAACCAAAAAAAAGAATAGACTCCCACCAATTGGGCCACTGGGGAGCTTGGATTCCTCTGATCTGGAGCACCACTGCTAAATGCACTATCTGTACACCAAAGCTGCTGAATGGGATGTGGCTTGATACTATTTTTTAAGTAAACATTTTATCTTACTAAAAAATACATGTGGAAAGGTGCACAAGTCATGTGTGTAGCTGGATTAATTTTCACCAAAGAAACACACTTGAGCTCTTTCTGCCCACGGGTCCTGCCCCTGTGCTTTAATAAAACCACCTTTTTGCACTGGGAACAAAGGGAAAAAAAAAAAAAAAGGCGAACACACTCACCTTATCAGCACTGTAATCAAGAAACAAATCTTCAACATCCCTCCCCTTGGACCTCTGTCCCTTCACTACTCCTCCAGCCAAGGAATCTTATATTCAAACTGGACCATAAAGGCTGACTTTAAGTGCCCACCTTTTTATCATTTTTAATTGTTAAGCTTTTATTCAAGTTATGTACAAACACCAATTTAACAGTCCCACACAGTACAAGGTTTTGCTCAAAAAGAACATTCCATCGGTACCTATCTCATATCTCATTCCCCAAAAGGGAGCCATTTCAATATGTTCAGTTCATTTCTTGGTTATCAAAAAGCAGCGGGGTGCCTGGGTGGCTCAGTGGGTTAAAGCCTCCGCCTTTGGCTCAGGTCATGATCCCAGGGTCCTGGGATCCAGCCCCGCATAGGGCTCTCTGCTCAGCGGGGAGCCTGCTTCCCCTTCTCTCTCTGCCTGCCTCTCTGCCTACTTGTGATCTCTGTCTGTCAAATAAATAAATAAAATCTTAAAAAAAAAAAAAAGCAGCAAGGTGTTTTTGGTTTAGGCATTATTTACTTACTTCTCCCTCTGGAGGCCAGGGATTTAGCTTCCCTCCCTTCCGCAGCCCTGTCCCAGCACCCGTGCCCCCTTCCCTGCCCCCCATCCTCACAGACAGCAGGCTCGGTGAAAGCCATCTTCAGTGTTTGTATTACTTTTACTTTGTAAACACTCCTTGGGCCAGAGGCATGCAGCTGACTTTGCTTACTTTTCCTTTCCAGCACATTTTTGGGGGTTTATTTTTCCTAGAGTTAATAATTGTCATTTTTATACTTGCTCACTTTCTACAAACTTCTTACAGATTCCACCTCACGCTCTGCCAGTTATCTGAGCCTCCCCTCCCAGGGTCTGGGCGGCTGGTCAGCTTCCCGCCCAGTCCCACTTTTGGCACTGCCTGGCCTGGGCACGTGAGCTGGTTGTTCTCTCTGCCCCACAGGCGCCCTGAGATATCCTCCTCACCTTGCTCCTCTTTCCTAAATACCATGTCTCCCCCTCCTACCAGCTCTTTCAGTAGAACGCCAGCAGCTGCCCAAGAAAAGAAGACCACAAAGGAAAGAAACTTTTGAAATCGTGCCTGTCTAAAAATATCTTTGTTCTACCCTATAGTTGATTAAAGGTAGTTTTGCTGGATATAGAATTCTAGGTCGGAAGTGATTTTCCTTAAAAATTTGAAGGCATGGCTCCATTGTCTTCTAGGTTTCCAGTGTTACTGTTGAGCTATTCCGAGTTTCGGTAATTTTTGTGTGACCTGGTTTTTCTCTCTGAAAGCTTTCAGGATCTCGGATGGCTCCATGTTTGAAGTTTCACCATGGGTATGTCTTGGTGTGAGCTGACTTTCATGCTTTGTGCTCACTGAGAGCCCTTTCAACCTAAAAACTCTCCTCCATCTGTTCCAGGAAATTTTTCTGAAATTATTTTACCTGATGCTCCTTCTCCTCTGTTTCCTCTGCTCTCTCTGGAACTTTTATTACTCTGATAGATTTCCTGGCCTGGTGCTCTATTTTCTCTCTCTCTCTCTCTCTCATTTTCCATCTCGTTCTATTTTTGCTCTGCTTTTTAGAAGATATCTTCAGTCTTACCTTCCAGTCTTCCTACAGATTTTAAATTTCTGCTATTGTATTTTAATTTCTAAAGGCTCTTTTGTGTTGTCCGAGTGTTCCTTCCTGTAAAATGTAGCACCCTCTTCTTGTTTCATGGGTGTGTAGCTTCCCTTGAGGTTTTCTTCTTCATGAGGACTCCCTGGTCCCTCCAAGCACGCCCCCCACCATATCACTTGTTTTCTTTCTTTCTTTCTTTCTTTTTTGAGTATTGAATCACAATTATTTTTCCCCCAGAGGGTAATGGCTATGATTTATTTTATAATTTTTTTATTATGTTATGTTGTCATCATATAGTACATCATTAGTTTTTTTTTAAGATTTTATTTATTTATTTGACAGAGAAAGAGATCACAAGTAGGCAAAGAGAGAGAGGGAAGCAGGCTCCCCACTGAGCAGAGAGCCCGATGTGGGGCTCAATCCCAGGACCCTAAGACCATGACCTGAGCCGAAGGCAGAGGCTTAACTCACTGAGCCACCCAGGTGCCCCATACATCATTAGTTTTTGATGTAGTGTTCCATGGTTCATTGTTCACGTATAACACCCAGTCCTCCACGCAATACTTGCCCTCCCTAATACCTAAACCAGGCTCACCCATCCCCTCCTCCCCGATAAAACCCTCAGTTTGATTCCCAGAGTCCATAGTCTCTCATGGTTCATTTCCCACTCCG